CTCTCTACCCCCCCCCCTCTAAAAGTCTGTATAAGGTTATGAAGAACCGTCAATTAGCCATAGAGTGAGTCAAAAAGTATAAATTACCTGTGTTTGGTATCTTTAACTGAAAAAAATGATAATTTTCAATTTCAGTTCTTAAATATTAGCTGATTAAATATTAGCTGATTAAATATTAGCTGATTAAATTCAAACTTTTGAGATTTTAGATACCTTCCACAGGTAGTCCAGACTGGACAGTATATACACTGTGCAGTGTACAGTGCATGTTGTACTGGCTCGGATCATGCAGCTTTTAGAGTGGGGTGGTGGGCCTCAGTTCTAAAAGTTAAGCTAAGACGAATATTTTATAATTTCACGGTTTAAAACCTAGCACGTTAACCCCCTACGCTTGTAACAAAGGATTATACAATGGGTAAACGGTGATTTTTGAATTTGTAATGTCCTGCTTTATTTCTCTAGTGTTACATAGACCCACCATGATATCCCTTCTTTATACTCCGCCCTTCATTCATACAATATCTCTTCAAAATGTGCGAGAAAAGGGACTGTTGGTGAAATTTTAAGTGACCCTCTATTTAAAGAGTTGTGTGTCTGATTGACAACAATTCCCTTTAAATCTAAATCTATTTGATAGTTGATTATTTTCAATTTGGGATTCTAGAAAAAACCTACTTGCGGATTTTTGAAGAAATTAAAATCACTTTTTTACCACAAAAACACGACGATATCCTCCTCAATGTTGCTCAGATAAAGGTACAAAGGGTACCAATGTGAATCGGGCAAGTCCCTTTAAGGAATTGACTTTTTGCCACAAACCCAAATTTTCTTATCCACACATCTTTGTAACCTAATGTTAAAAACTTTGGCATTTTATACTTAGAACATATGATCTTACAGAATGTATAGTTTGAAATATCAAAAGTCTACGACATTGGGTTGTAGTGAGACATAATTCCTTTGTAAATACATTTTTGATGTTTTAACACGGATTAATCCAACATTAACGCTTTTCTGCATTCTTATCTATATATAAATTTGGCTTGTCTGGGTGTCTGTTTGTTTGTATCCAACAAACGTCTGGGTGTCTGTTTGTTTGTATCCAATAAACGTCAAAACGGCTGAACCGATCGGGCCAAAATTTTTTGTGGGACATCACGTAACCATAGGGAAGGTTTATGAATGAAATTTAAAAAAAAAATGTGTTTTAAAGGTTTTTAATTTACAAAAAAAATTAAATTCTTGAAAATCCGCGATTTTTTTTAAAAAAATCCGCATAAATTTTTTTCTTGTTTGTTTTAAAATGTAAACAAAAAGAACATGTTCACAATTTAAATAGAAGATGGGCGCGAAGCGCCCTAAAAGCCTAGAAAGAAGGGCGCGAATTCTAGTGTTAAATATTTCTTGTTTAAATAGTTATTCAAAAATGTAAAAGAGCGAGCAGGAGTGTGTAACCAAAACTATCTCCGGGCTTACCCCCGGGTAACCTAGAGTTATTATTTTCTAATGACAATTTTGTAATATTAGGACCCCCCCCCAGACACCAGGAAAATTACGTTTTTGTTCATTGATAAACTTTAAATTATATAATTATTTAATTGGGTGAATGAAAAAATTTTGTTACGAATTCTGCAGCAACAAAAAATTAAAATTCAACATTTCTAAATCAAACCATTAAAATATTTTTTAAAAAGTTGTCGATGAAAAATAGATCGATAGATAGATAGATAGACAGATAGAAAAAAAGAAAGATATATATAGATTTACAAAAAGAGAGATAAATAGAAAGTTATATAGATCATAGCATTCAAACTTCTGGTTCTAAGAACCCTGATAGGGAAATTGTAGATGTACCTAGAGGATAGAAAATAGATAGATATATAGATAGATACAAATAGATAGACAGAAAGATACTTACTAAATAGATAGATAAATAATTATAAACTGACATAGGAAGACATAAAATATGTATTATATATACATATTTATATTTTATCTAGATATTTTACATAAATCACTAAATACTGCAGTCTTTAACTGCCGAAGGTTTAGAAATTGAACGAAAAAGAAAACTGTAAATCATGTTAATATATGTATTTTTCATGTTAATATATATTTTTCATGTTAATATATATTTTTCATGTCATTTAAATTTCATCATCCTGTTTGTGAGTATACAATGCTTTAATACTTCATAAAAATACTGGAGCTAAAGCGTATTACAATACAATGACGAGGCAATGCGGGAGAAAGTTTGTGAAAATCCGTGAAAATTATGTAAACGTTATAAAACGTGGGTCTTCTCTTCCCATACAGGATATCAAGATTAAGCACGTATGCCGCGTTTATGATTGATTTATCATGCGTCGAGGTCTCCGTAGTTTCCCATGCTCTGGAAAACAATGGAATCTTCTGAATATTTATATTGAGCAAGGACGGATCGTGGTGCAAGAATCAGAAGATTATACCGATTAAGTTTATTGTTTAAAACTTAAGCCGTGTAAATACAGAACTTAAGTTGAGAAACTAGGTTTATGCACATTAAATTGCAGGCTCAGGGCACGCGTTAAGGTCTGATATTCAGAATATTCGGCAATATTTATTTCAAACTTGAAAATCTAGATTTTAAATAATTGGATCTTACGATAACTTTTTACCGTACTTCAACTGATGCAGAACATGTAATCAATATGAAATCTAAGTCAGGTTTTCATTTTAATAGTTAAAATCTTTGCATTAAAGGGACAATGCACAAAAACTCAAGTACCNCCCCCCCCCAACCTATTGAAAGTTTCATAAACAATTTAAAACGTTATTTTTATAACTTTTGTCTGATCAAGGATATATAAGTTATCCTTATTCCTCTAGCTGAAAATCAAATATTTTTAGTTATGGTTTCTCCAAAAAAATGCGACAGAAAAAAATAAGGAAATTGTGTTAAGTGTTTAAGATAAAAAAATGACGATATCACTCTTATTGTTACTGAGCTAGATAAAGCACGGGCAGCCGTAGTACATTTGAATTTCCGAGCCGGGCCAACCTTTCCAGTCCCAGTTTGTACTGTACCTAGCTCTATGGACAGGACTAGCCGGTGCAACAAGGTTGTCGCGGTCAGACTTTATGCTTCATATAGGCTGAATTTACCTTTACTAAAGGGACAAAGGTGCGTGAAAGGTGTAAAGGGCAACGTTGTGGCTCGGATATTATACTCTGTGAATGAAAAGTACACAGTCCCTTTAAAGGTTTTATCTCTGGTCTAGGTAAAGCATATTCTCCAGGTACCATATAAGGTAGAGAGTAGCACACTATCTACCACTGTCCCATATATGTAGACCCAACAGATTCAAATTATAATAAATTTAAATTAATATAAATAACTTAAAAGTTAAACCTACACGACCTACTGAAAGGCTTTCATGGTAACCCACGCAATTTGACCATATTTAGGCGTAAAGATTGCAAAAAAATGCTTATAAAATTTTGCGCAGGATCTTGATTTAAATTAGATTTTCGCTTGTGGATCCCATAATAGATTTTCACACGCGATACTAATAATTGCAAATTGATATAAGTGCGCGAAGTTATGATTAAAGGCGCGCGCGTGGCTAAAACACATATTTTTAATCTCTCACTTGAAAAAAAAACAAGTTTATTATAATCTAAACATTCACAGGAACAGATTACTCGCCTCAAACTCGTATTTTCTTATTTCTATATCTTTTCAAGTTTTGGAGTTAAACTTTATACATTTGTTCCAACATAATTTATAATTAAGACATCCGGATGCAAAGACAAAAAAATTATAAGAAATTTAATGTATGCTGACATTAATCAGTTCCTTTTAATTTTCCATGTCTAACTTAAAGCGACTGTTGACATATTTTAAGTAACCCTCGAACCATGTCTTACTTAAAGCGGCTGTAGACAAATTTTAAGTAAATCTTGATCAACTTAATGCGACTGTTGACAAAGTTTAAGTAACCCTCGAACCATGTCTAACTTAAACCGACAGTTGACATATTTTAAGTAACCCTCGAACCATGTCTAACTTAAAGCTACTATTGACAAATTTTAAGTAAATCACGAACCATTTCTTGCTGAAAGCGATTGTTGACAAATTTAAAGTAAATCTCGAACCATGTCTAACTTAAAGCGACTGTAGACAAATTTAAAGTAAATCTCGAACCATGTCTAACTTAAAGCGACTGTTGACCAATTTTAAGTAACCCTCGAAACTGTTGAGTCAAATGCACAATTCACAAGGGTGTCCTTGAACCTCTATGTGATAAGGACCTATTTGATTTCCCAATTGTTAGCTTTTAAATGCGGTTTCACGGAAAAAGTGATTCGTGGATTTACACATCAGAGACAAGGAAGGAAAATCATAAAAATTATTTCTTTTTAGAAAAAAATTTAATTAAAAAAGTTACATAGATAATGGGTTATAAGTTGAAATTACCTCTACAGTTCCTTGAACACCGAAACCGAGTTTCATCTTATATATTTCAGCACGCGAATGCAGTCCGGCGCAAGCATGAGGAGATTCTAGAGAAGATCTGGTTGGGGGAGTACAGCAGGAAACCTCCAGATTTCATGGTTCCTCCAGTAGATATTCCTATCAGGGAGAACGTCATTCCTGGCACTTGGTGAGTTCATTCATCCTCTCATTCGTTCATCCTTTTAGTCATTCATCCTATCTTCATTCATCCTTTCATACATCCCTTACTTATTCTTTTATTCACGCTTTCATTTCTCCATTTATTCATCCTCTCATTCATCCATATATTCATCCTATAATTCATCCTTCCGTTCATTAATTCATTCAGTCTTTTATTTTTTCATCCTTTATGGTATTTTTTTATTTATATCACTATCCTTTCATTCTTTTTATTTTTTATTTTTTCGTTTGTTTCTTTATTAATGTTTCATTCTTTATTTTTTTATTAATTTTTCAATTAATCATTTAAGTATTCATCTTTTAATTTATTCATTCATTTGTTCACCAGAGTCCGAATTTAATGAATTTGAGTCGCGTCGCAAATCCCCCACAAACCAGTTTTAATTAAGCGCCGCGCCGGCTTAAATCTTGAAAAACTTAATTTCGTATTCATATTTTTATTCAACTACAAAGCACGAGATAATACAAATAAAAAATCACAATTTATTATGTAGTTTACAATAGTTGAATACAATTTTAAGTGGAACCAAGCATATTTGAGCCGCGTCTGAAATTTAAAATACTTTTTTATTTGTTGAATAATTATCACGTTTTCCAATTATGCCATTATTTTATTATGAAAAGGTTAATACTCGAGAGTTAATTCTTGAATTAGTTTCAATACAGTTCAAATTATTTGCTGGTAAGGAAAGTAGTTTAGGTCTTACATATTTATAAATGAAAAGATGTATACATATATATATATATATATATATAACCCTTCTACCCATCTATATACCACCCTCCTACACCCTCATCTATACCCCCTGCTCATTCCTCATCCGGCCCTATTCTCCCTTCTACCCATCTATAGTAAATCTTCCCCTTGTTTGATTTTTATATCATGTCTCCCTACTCCCCAGCTCCCCTTGAGTTAATTTTGTCCTTTTCTTTTTCCTTTATTCTTTTTCCTCCTTCATTCTACTTTTGTTTCTTCTCCAATTCTCCGGATAAATATCCTCAGAACCTTGAATAATTCATTCCTCCGAACCCCTAACGAATCCCTCCAATCCTTATTTCACATGATGAATCCCTCCGAACTGATAAATTTCTACAGTCCTTGATAGGTTCCATCCCTCCTAACTGATATCTCTCGACCTATCCTAGCTCCACCCTCATTCTTCATGTCAAACCTATACTCTGCATAATTATTCTATGAACCTGGTTTAAAACAGGGTAAACCATAAAGAAAAAGACTCTAAACAAGCCATTATTCCATCTATCTATCTCTATATATTTTCTTCTATCTATCTATCTATCTATCTATCTATCTATCTATCTATCTATCTATCTATCTATCTATCTATCTATCTATCTATCTATCTATACATGTGTTGGGTAGGAGCTAATCTACCTAGAGACAGACCTGGGGGAATTTACATGGTGAAATAGGTGAAGGAAATACCTCTATAGGACGGGATTAAATGAGCATGGGGAAATCTATACATACTATACACGTGTGGAGGATTTTCATTAAGGGGTTGAAAACAGGGTTACATCTTACATCGGAAGGAAGTTATTCTTTTAATTGTTTTTTTGTTGTATTAATTTTAGTATGTTAACATAGTTTTTACTTATACTATGTTTAGGTATTAAAAACGCATACATAAGTTATAGCACGTGGAATGGGTTTTATTATATTCTCGTTGCAACCACCCCGGTGTACAAGTTTATGCTAAATAGTTTAGGATTAATGTAATATATGTTTAGAATGAATATTTACATATATATAATGTATATTAAAGGGACTGTAAGCGTAATTAATTTCAACATATAGCTTATATTGAAAATGGATCCAGAGATGCATGATTCAATTTGTATCTAAAAATCGAAGAAAATTTGTTGTTTTTTCGGAAATTTTTTATAATTTGTTAAAATAGTAGAACAATTATATTTACAAAAGGAGTTTCTGAAAAAATTATCAAAGATCACGGAAAAAGTGTTGAATTGATCAAGGACTATTGAAGAAGTATTGAATTGATCAAGGACTACGGAAAAAGTGTTGAATTGATCAAGGACTACGGAAGAAGTATTGAATTGATCAAGGACTATGGAAGAAGTATTGAATTGATCAGGGACTATGGAAGAAGTATTGAATTGATCAAGGACTAAGGAAGAAGTATTGAATTGATCAAGAACTACGAAATAAGTATTGAATTGATCAAGAAAAGTGTTGAATTGATCAAGGACTATGGAAGAAGTATTGAATTGATCAAGGACTACGAAAGTAGTATTGAATTGATCAAGGACTACGGAAGCAGTATTGAACTAATCAAGGACTACGGAAGATAAGAAGTATTGAATTGATCAAGGACTATGAAAGTAGTATTGAATTGATCAAGGACTACGAAAGTAGTATTGAATTGATCAAGGACTACGGAAGATAAGAAGTATTGAATTTATCAAGGACTACGAAAGTAGTATTGAATTGATCAAGGACTACGGAAGATAAGAAGTATTGAATTGATCAAGGACTAAAGAAATAATACTGATTTGATCAAGGTTTTGCTTGAGTATGATTTATAATATAAAAATTATCCTTCTGTATCCTCTGAACCACAGATTTATCTTTTACAGTGAGAACTAGCCATGGTTGAATAAACTCCATTAGTACACAGTTATCGGTCTTTATATTTATAATTAGTCATATTAGAAACAGTAACAGCCATTTTTAGACAATAAAAACATTTATCATAAAAGGGCTGTCGTTGCAATTTTCATGTGACCTTCCATTTTGAAATCATAATGTGGAAGATATAATTGATTTTCTACTTTGAACATTATTTAATTCAAACAATTTCCTTCACTTTATAATTAAATAATATAATTGAACATAATAAATTGTTAAAGAAAAAATGTTGGATTTATGCATTCTTGGTAAAATAAAGCTTTTAAAGGTACCGTTGTGAATCAAACTTGCCACTCTATGAATGGAAAGGCACTTCTACAATTCATTTAAAAAATGTATCTAATTTAATTCTACTCATCACCCAGCACTAGTCCTGTCAACTCTTGATCTAGATTAACCTTGTATCCATCAATATCTTTTATATCATGCTACTATACAACCATATTTATGCCTATATAGGAACTCATGTATCTATATATCTATCCATCTATCTATCTAAAGCTATCTATGATATCTATTGAATAAAAAAATAAACTTGTTGGCTTTTACTGTTTTGATATCCTTAATTCTCAATTTAACACATCTTCAGTTGAAGGCAAATACTATCAACTTGTAATTTGAACTTATTAATGTTAAAAGATATTCTTGAACATCAATTTACTAAGTAATGACTTGACCTAATTTTTTATGTCTTTGTTGTTAGATTTATTGTTTAATTGTTTGGTGATTTCTTAGTGCCGTGGACCAACCAAACCCCGGACCTTCCTAATATGGAAAAAACAATCTCTTGTGACTGTTTATCTATTTATCTGGAATAGTAAATTTTTACTGAGGTTTTCATTTACTTGTTGTTTGTTTAGGTTTGCCCGGGACAATGTTTACAACTTTATCAAGTTCTGCCGCGGCCTCCAGGTGATGGAAGTTATCATGTTTGAGACGGAGGACCTGGTGTCCCAGAAGAATGAGAAGCATGTTGTGTTGACTCTATTGGAAGTAGCAAGGAGAGGAGCCCATCTAGGGATGCTGGCTCCAATGCTGGTTCAGTTCGAGCAACAGATAGATATGGAGTTAGCTAGGTAAACTATAGTATTCCCCCTTCCCCCCCCTTCGGACCCCATCCTCCTTCTTCACCATCACCCCATCCTTATTCCTGTCAAACCCTTTTCCTTCTCTAACACTTATTCCTTCAACCTTCTCTCATTCTCTTTTTTCCCTTCTCCGATTTCCACGGGTATGGATCACGATTCGCGATAATTAGCAAGAATCGTGTTTCTTTAGGTTAAAGAATGCTTTCTTGACAGATGTTTAAAATATTACATAATTCAAGGTATTAAGACAAGGAAAGTTAATTGCAGTTGCGTATACTCTGCGTACATATTGAAACCAGTTCTCTCTGGGCGGAATTTGTAAACAAGAATAGATGAATCAGTGTTCTTTTAGTATCCAAAGAGGTTAAAAGCATTTAATTTGATAAATTTTTATATTTCACAAAATAGTTTCCAATGAACAGAATATTTCATTGATTTTTTATGTGAAAGATGGATAGATAATATGTCAGGCTTCGACATCCGTTTTGTGTTTACATTACCGCCCAGAGACAGTACACTGCAGTACAAAAGATGTGTACACCTCTGAAATAAATATCCTTGCATTATAACCTTGACATAATTAGTCTTTAACACATATCATGAATAAGAAGGTTTAAAATGGATTTAAAATGGCCTTATGACTGCAAGGGCTGGGAGGGGGGGGCATTACCATCCCCCCTTGTGCACCCTTCGCAACTTTCCCACATTCAATCCCCTCTGGGAAATAATAGAATAGTTTTTCCACGTATCAGCATCTTGAACTGTTAATAGATAAATAAGGAGATTTTCACCATCCTTCAATTTACAAAATATCTTATTCGACCTACATAAGTTTTTTATTTTAATTTTTTCTTGCCTTTTCCACTTCTTCTCATGCTTTTATCTTATTTTTATTTTCATATAGTTTTAGTTTTATAAGGTTTCTTTATCTTTATTATCCTGTCTTTGTTCTATCAAAATTTTGCATTCACAGTTCGGATCAACAACTTTTTTATTGCCAGATTTCTGGGGAAAGAAAAAAATGTTGAACTTTATTATATGACATTTATCATGAGGGTTGTGTTGATATGACATTTATCATGAGGGTTGTGTTGATATGACCTTTAAATCCCTGTTTAACGCGAAAAAAAAAAGATTGGTGCATAACATAACGTTCATAATTCTAGTTTAGATTTTTTCTTTTCAGTAATTTGCATAATATCATTTGTAACTTGTTTTTTTTAACAGTAAAGTGAACCTTTATAAAATAAGCAAATTAAACCAGGCACAGTTCAATAGATTGAGAGGGAAGGTCAAATTTATGTGAAATTACTGGCACGTGAGTTTGTAACCACATATAGCTCCTCTGGTTTTGATTTTATACGAGTTTAAAGCATGTAAGATTTCAACCTGGCGTGTTTCCTTGAATTTGGCTGTAGTTTATTGAATTAAAAAAAACTAAAACTAAACTATTTGAATTAAATATTTGAAAATAGTATTTTCGAGAAACTTCTTGATTTTCCTTTTCTTGATTTGATATTTGATCAACTGTCCTTGAAAATAGCTTATTTCGTGTGGCCTTCCAAAGGGAAAGCAATACTATATCTAAACTAATAGATGATATCTCTGTACTGTGCAATACTGAATTTGAATAGAATAGAATAGGATCTGGGCCCGATCTGGTTTGTTTATCGTATATGGCAACGAACGATGTATCTATCTTAGTTGTATATAGGTAAGGTAGGGGAGATAGGATGTGTGTTTAGATTTTACTGTGAGGTATATAAAAAGGTTTTATCAAAACAATCCTACCCACCCTACCTTTTGTATAACTACCTTGAATATATCCATCTGCAGTACCCTACCCCCATACCTTTAGTTAACCTACCTTGAATATATCCATCTGCAGCTCAGGGTTGTAAAAAAGTTTGGTTAGAGCTGCTTAAAGATAGATTTGAACCAATCTGCTACTTTGGTTTCAAATTCAATTATTTTAAGCTTATCTTATTATCAGGTTAAGCCCACGCCCTGTTGANGGGTTACTTTTAAATAATCATTTAAAAATTGATTCTTTGCCACAAACTCAAATACTCCAACCCCTTTGCAACCTGGTGGTGTAAACCTGATTTCAATCATAAATTGGTTCATAGAATTCATAATTAGAAGTATGAAAGTAGACAAGGCCGGATTGGGTTATATAGATGGGATTACAAAATCAGAGTTTGTGACAAAAACTCAATTCCTTCACAATTGTACAGTGTACAGCACATATATTTTAATATCAAGGGGTTTATATTGCAAAATTTGTTGTTTTAATTTTTAATATGCTAATTTAATATGTCAATTTCTTGTAATTCAATTACGCCCAGAAAGAGGTTTCGTGATTTATCTATTTTTGTATTTTTTAAACTTAGATTCCATGTGAACATGGGATAATGTCATCTAAACCAAAATAGGAAAAGTGTGCTTAAAAACTAGCATTTATAAAATAAAGTGCACTAACTTTTTTAATCACAAATATTTTTTTTCTTCATTTTTTTCCCTTTTTTCTTTTTTTCCATTCTTACAGTTTACTGTTCATGTATACTGTTTACTATTCATAAAAAAACTTACATACGAATATTATATGCGCAACAAATTTAGTTTACAAAATAAATCTTATCTTGAAAATTAAAGCCACTATTTATTTGATTATCATAAATTATAAAAGTTTCACCTCCATGATTGCAAATTGGATCTAACTTTTTACATAAATGTAAAAGTTTTCTAGTTTGTCATGAGGACCCTAAAGTTTTTTTTCGTGATTGTCAAAAATGTTTGTAAACTTTTTTAATATTCTTCGGAGAAGAAAGAAATTCAAGAATATTTTTCTCAGAGAAGAAAAAGAGAGAAGAAGACTAGAGAAGGAAGAACGAGAGAAGGAGAAGATATTGAAAGAGGAAGAGAGATTGAAGAAGAAGGAGTTGAAGGAGAAGGAGGAGAAGGAGAAGAAAGAGCAGAAGGAGAAGGAGGAGAGGGAGAGGAGGGAGGAGTTTGATTTGTTTCCAAGTCTAGCTGTCGAAGTCCAGGATGATACAGGTGAAAAAACATCACTTAAAGGGAGTGACCGGCAATGTATGGGTGGTTGAACTGAATATGCAGTATTGGGGACATATTTTTTAGAATTCATTTGAGACATATAAAACGTTTCTACGACGTATATTTACTGAGTTTGAGCGCAAAGTCGACGCTCAAAATAATGAATTTGGGTGGGTACGTTTTTAGAATCGTTTTTTTTTTTAACGTCGAACTTGCACTCAAACTCAGTAGTTATACATCGTGGAAACGTTTTATAAGTCTCAAATGAATCGTAAACGATTTTCTACAATACTGCATACAATTACTAGGAGTCAAAAGTGATCGTGTAAAGAAATTGAGTCTTTGCCACAAACTCACATTTTAGAATTCCTACATTTTTGCAACCTCGTGGTGAAAATCTTTGGTATTTCAAACTAAGATTATTTTCTCGAAAAGGATTCAAAGTTTGAAATATCTAAGATCTATGATATTACGTCGCAAATTAGAGTTGGTGGCAAAAATTCCTAATTAAAAACTTAATTTCATATGAAAATGTCAGTAATATTTCTATGTTAAATCTTTCACAAATTGATATCAATATCTGAACATTTTCTTATCGTAGAAAATGCAGGTCTAATATTTTCTGCGAATCAAGTATTCTAGAAAATGAAAGTTTTCGCGGATTTATCTTTCCCATATTTGAATTATATGCATTCAGTCTGAGGAAGGTTTTAATGTTATTGAATAAAGAAATCTTTTCAAAGGTTCAATTAAATATCAGAGAAAAGAAATTATCCAAAAGAAGAAAACGAAATGTTGAATTTCTAGGCAAAATAAAAAAGAAAATATTACAATTTAGAATTAAGTAATCCTTCCATATTTTAAATAGTTACATTCACTTTTCACAGCGGAACTCTTCTAACCTTTCTCATGGCAAAATTGAAAATTGATGGAGATATCCTTGTCTGTTTTTTTTACAGAAAATATGTAATTTTTTACTAGAGGGCCAGTTAAAATTACGCTGATACAATTCTTTAAAATTAAAATAATTACTAGGTATGGATGATTTATTGGACGAATTAAATTCCAACCAATATGATGAAGACTTTGAGGAAATAGAAGAAGAAGAAGAAGAAGAGGAAGAAGAAGAGGAAGAAGAAGAGGAGGAAGAGGGATATCCCTATCCTATTGGACCAATGCCTCAGGAGATCCATAATGATCTTCGGAGTCTAGACGAAATGGTGAGTACTCTTGGTACTGTACTGTACTGTACTGTACTGTACTGTACTGTACTGTACTGTACTGTACTGTATTGTACTGTACTGTACTTTTTTGGCACTTACTGTACTNCTTTTTCAGGACTGTGTATTGTACAGTACATCCTTTTCGGTACTGTGTACTTTACTTGTTTTCGGCCTTATGCACTGTAAATATTTTTCAGTAATGTAAATTATTTTTTGTACTGAACTTTATTTTAGTAATGTAATTTTGTTTTTATTTATTTTTTATTACAAGAGAAAACTACAACGTAATTTCGCTTAATTTTTATTATTCCATCCAATCTTTATGGCGATATAATTCCGATTTTACCTCTTATTTATTTCCTAATCTTGTGATTGTAGTTAATTTGCTACTCCAACTGTGTGTATCAGTGTAAAATGTAGTGGTTAGCTGACTTTATTAATTGAATTATAAATTATAAAAGTGAAAACATGGTTTACAATATATAGCCATTAGTCAGCCATTCGGCTTTATAAGACAAGAGAAAGTATTAGGACAAGAATGATTAATTGGACACTAAAAAAACTAGGACAAGAATGATTAATTGGAAGCTAATAAAAACTAAGACAAGAATGATTAATTGGAAACTAATAAAAACTAGGACAAGAATGATTAATTGGAAACTAATAAAAACTAGGACAAGATTGATTAATTGGACACTTATAAAAACTAGGACAAGAATGATTAATTGGAGCTAATGAAAACTAGGACAAGAATGATTAATTGGACACTAATAAAAACTAGGAAAAGAATGATTAATTGAACATCAATAAAAACTAGGACAAGATTGATTAATTGGAAACTAATAAAAACTAGGACAAGAATGATTAATTGTAAACTAATGAAAACTAGGACAAGAATGATTAATTGGACACTAATAAAAACTAGGAAAAGAATGATTAATTGAACATCAATAAAAACTAGGACAAGATTGATTAATTGGAAACTAATAAAAACTAGGACAAGAATGATTAATTGTAAACTAATGAAAACTAGGACAAGAATGATTAATTGGACACTAATAAAAACTAGGACAAGAATGATTATATGAACACTAATAAAACTAGGACAAGCATGATTAATTAGACACTAATAAAACTAGGACAAGAATGCTTATTTAGACACTAAACTAGGACAAGAATGATTATTTGGACACTAATAAAACTAGGACGAGAACGATTAATTGGACAAGAATAAGAACAAGATTAAGAACAAGAACAAGAACCAAAATAAAAACAAGAACAAGAATGGGGAATTGGACATGTATGAAAACTTGGGGACAAAACACTACACTTTATAGTCAGCTATTCAAGAAAGCAAATTAGAATCAGGATAAGAATGACGACAAAGACAAGAATAAGAATTAGGATAAAAATGATTGAATAGGACAAGAAAAAAAAATTGAGCAAGAATGAGTTCTAGGTCGAATGACGACTAGAACAAGAATGAGTAAAAAGAAAATAAAGATAAAAAGGACAAGAATGAGAACTAAATAGAACAAGAAAAATCAATAGGACAAGAATGAATGACAGGAAAATAATGAGGTAAAGGACAAGAATGAGAACTAGGACAAGAATGATTAATAGGACTAGAATGACGACTAGGACAGTAATAAAAACTAGGACATGATTATGAATGATGGCTATAACAATTATTAGAACATTAAAGGGCGATGATTATGAATATTAAATATATACAGCTAGTTTGAACCTGAATATAGTTGAATTCTAGGCCGTCTTTTTATTCTTAATTATGAAATATATCTCTGGAGTTTAAGAGATATCATAGTTCCAATTTACTTGCTAAATACAAAATCCTTCGTGACATTTATTAGAAGTAAAAATAAAGTGCAAAGAAGATATTCAGTCCAAAATTTTCTTTTTCTTACTCTAGTACACAGACAGTACAATTGATGAAATCTATTTAGGTTCGGGATCTTCTTTCTGAGTGCCAGTGTCCCTCCCAGTTCCCGATGATCAGGGTCTCTGAAGGAAAATATAGAATAGGAGATACCAAAGTTCTTATCTTTGTGCGGGTAAGTAATATCTCAGACGTACAGTAGAATAACCAGAAAACTGTAGAATAGGAGATACAAAAGTTCTTATCTTTGTACGGGTAAGTAATATCTCAGACGTACAGTAGAATAACCAGAAAACTGTAGAATAGGAAGACGACATTAAAACAATACTGAAGTGCATTTGATGTTGTTACAAAGAAAATAGCTTTACTAGTAAGTTATTAAATCAATAATAATAAATCATTGTTTACACTGAACCATTGCTCTGCCTCAGTGTATTGAACCATTTTAAGTGTAAACTTGAGTCTTAAAGTCGAATTCCTCTTCTAGAGTTTTCTGGTTGTTACTGTAGCATACAGTACTGCCCACAAAGAATGAGACTTCAGAGACTGTATGAAATTGTTATAGTATTATTTCTTATTAAATGGATGTCACTGCTTTACTTTATTTATTTCGGCATTATATAGCTACAGGGTTACCCACAAAGGATAAGGCTTCAGAGAAGACTTACGGAATTTCTACTTAATTCTTTGCATCTAGTACACGTGGATTTAACAATTCTGTCAATATTTCAGAGAGCTCTGACTTTCGATCACTATTTGACCCCTTATACATAATGTTATAGCCTTTTTCTTAAATAATTTTTTTGAATGAAAAAGTATAAAATAAACAAATCCGTAAAGATTGTAGAAATATAGACGAAAACACGTTTGATTTCAAATAGAAGAAACCGAATGCTTCTCTCTCTGGTTAGTTCGGGGTGGGTAACGTGCTGTTTTCTTTGCAAATTCATTAAATAGGCCTTATTCAAGGAGACTTAATTTATCCTTAGGATGCTCATATTTCAAGAGCTTCAAGTCGTCTTTACAGTCTCATCCTTTGTGGGTAACCCTGTACTAATTAAACAATGTTCAAGAAAGTAAACACAATTTAACCCTACAATTTAACCCTACAATTTAACCCTACAATTTAACCCTACAATTTAACCCTACAATTTAACCCTACAATTTAACCCTACAATTTAACCCTACAATTTAACCCTACAATTTAACCCTACAATTTAACCCTACAATTTAACCCTACAATTTAACCCTACAATTTAACCCTACAATTTAACCCTACAATTTAACCCTACAATTTAACCCTACAATTTAACCCNGGAGGGTAGTAATGTATTTCAATCAAACTTTTTGATAACATGATAACTTTGAATTTCGTCGATAGTTCCTTTAAATAAATCGTACGCCTCAGAAATTAATGAATCTACGCAAGCTTCATGACATAGCGATAAATTGATGTCTAACTAAAGTGTTAAAATATGTTTCTTTCTCTTCAAATACTGAAAAAATGAGAATATGTTTCCAACATAACATGATTTGTTGATATTTTTCTCTTTAAGAAAAAAAAAAAATGTTTGCCGACAAAGCAATATTTTTTATAGAAGATGTCTGCTAAACGTTTAATCAGCATCATGTTTATTACCATAGAATAAATATTCAAAAGAGGAATCATATTTGGTCAGAAATCTGTGAACCCATTGTGTTCCATTCACTACTGTATGCCGAGTCCATTAGTGCATGATCCAATCAGGGTTCAGTCATGTGTTTGTTGTCTATTTTGAACCAAAAGAAATAGTGGCGGTAACATCTATCTTTCTATGTATCTTTTATCCAATTAGAGTTATGAATCCTTCAATCGGCGCTATATCAGTAAATGGAAATATTTACTTCTACTGAAACTATAGTGATTAAATGGCCAATGTAACACAACAAAAAACATTTCTAATCTAGAATGTTAGATTTCTGAGTCTAAATGTCATTTGTTATTAAGAAGAGAAAATTTTTGTCAGTTTACTTCATTGTTTTTGCTGTAGAAACCCGCTAATCACCATTTAATGGTTAACTGAAATAGAAAATTTTCATAAATCACATTACCTCCATTATATTGGGCTGGTCAAAAGTTTAAAGGGTTCTATTGTGAATCGGGCAAATACGTTTTTTGTGAATTGAAATATTGTTTTCAGTCTCATAATGAAGGAAGATCTAGGTTCTGGTCTGTTGAGTTTTATATGAAACCTTGAAGAAAAACCAGGATGAATAGATTACAAACCGTTCTCAAGTTCAAACCGCGGAAACCTTGCATATCATATTATTGACTTCTTTTAAACCTAATTAGCCTGGATGGAAAGAGGGGGGGGGAATGGCAACACTGACACGTCAAATTATATCAATCCAGCCTCCTCATCGTAAACAGAAAATCAAGTAAACTTCATACAGTCGGCAGTAATCCATAGAGTCATTCGTGGTAAAATGTAAACAATGATGACTTAAATGAAATCTCTAATCTGAATCGGATATATCAGATATATCCGGTGTATATTGGATAGATTTCCGATAAGCTGATTGCTTTCTCGCTTTCAAAATTCTTGTTGCATCTCTTAGACCACTTTGTTTTTTTAGTCACTAGACCATCCCCTGTCTCCGGATCCCTAAACCACTCATGTTTCCTATAGTATCTAGGCCACCCCCATCTCCAGGTCCTTAAACCTTCCTTGTTTCCGGGTCCCTAAACCACCCCTGTCTCTGGGTCCCTAAACTACTTATGTTTCCTGGTATCTAGGCCACTCCCACCTCCAGGTCCCTAAACCTTCCTTGTTTCCGGGTCCCTAAACCACCCCTGTCTCCGGGTCCCTAGACTACCCCTTTTTACTGGTCCCTAAACCAATCCTGTTTCCTGGTTCATTAACCACTCCTGTCTTATGATCCCTAGATCACCCTTGTATCCGGGTCCCTAACCACCCTTATTTCCTGGTCCATAAAACTCCCATGTCTCCGGGTCCCTAAACCACCCCTGTCTCCTGGTATTTGGACCACCTCTGTCTCTGGGTCCCTAAACCACTCCTGTCTCCGGGTCCCTAAACCACCCCTGTCTCCTGGTATATGGATCACCTCTGTCTCTGGGTCCCTAAACCACTCCTGTCTTCGGGTCCCTAAACCACCCCTGTTTCCAGATCCCTAAACCAGTCCTGTGTCCGGGTAAAGCTAAAGCAAACCTGTCTCCGAATTTACCTGGATTGATTTTGATTCAAGGTTGAAATGAATCCTCTAAACTTTAAATATTCATGAATAATAAATGTGTCCTCCAATGCATCTAGTTGGTATTTAATCTGAAGATTTAGTTTAAAATTAGTAAAAATAACAAATTTACAGTTCACATCAATCTAAATAGAAAAGAATAATTTCACTTGTTGTTTTTGACATTAATTGTCTGTAGCAAACTGTAAAAGTTTACAATTTTAAAAATTATACTCACTTAGCTCTGAATCTAATATTGTGTGTTAAACTCAAACTAAGATTGTTTACTCATGGTTTAATTATTCTCTAAAGCACTCTCCAGTATCCCTAGCCTGGGTTCTCGCAGTAAACTTTATGAAACTTTACAAAGCTAAGTAGAAAACTTAGTGAACAAGGAAATGGAGAAAGGGAAAGGACGGAGGTGTCACTTCAAACCATACATTGTGATAGAGAAACTATAAGATCATTTCTAAATATTAAGGATTTATTTTGGATGAAAATAAATTTCAACCACAAACCTTGCTTAACTTCTTGTTCTGTACTGTACTGTACTTCGTGTCATCCGTACTTTTTACAAACATATGACGTCTCCGACTGTGTACGACTTAAGTACGATGAAATACGACCTCTGTTAGCGAAAACTAATAGAAAAGATAGTAAAATAAGATCAAGTTCTGACATCTAAGAGCCAAACGTACACTATTGAGTACGGAGACATACAAAGTATGTCTAAAATGCACCCGTTATTTTGGAACAATCCGGGCTCGGGACAGTAAGGTATATCGCAACTAATCTGACTTTTGAATTTAAAGTTTTAACACTTGGTAAAATTCCTAATCTGATGTAAAATAGGAAGGAAGTTGCGCCTCTGCATACAGTCGATGTATCACCAAAGGCACCATACCAAATAATTAAAAAATGACCTCCTGCTTGAAATATTTGTGACAACTGTTAAACCTTTGACCTCCAAACAGACCTGTGGCCTTTTACGTCCTGTTTATTCTGTTGTGACCTACCTTTTGACCTTTGACCTCCGGAATACCTGTGTGACCTCATGTATTTGTTTAGATATTACGGAGTCACGTGATGGTGAGGGTTGGAGGAGGATGGGATACTCTGCAGAATTATCTAGATAAACATGACCCTTGTCGGTGTAGAAGAGGTCGGTATTTAAACTTGATATTTATAAGTTGAGGCAAATTGGTCAAGGCGTTCACGACATACAAACAAATTTAAAAAACAGATATTACTACTATATATTTGTAGATCAAAGAGAATATATCCTATTATTTTCTTTGATGTAGATCAAGGAGTATGAAATAGAAGGGAGATAAAACTGACACGACCCGCCCTACCATATGATTATACATGCTCCGCAGCCGTTACTCCATCTGTATATAAAAAATATTTGTCTGCTGTACAATTATCGCGTATACAATAACCTATTCTGAATATTTCATATATAAATTGAGTACCGTCTTCAAAGCATGCATAATCATATGGTAGGGCGGACTGCGTCAGTTGTCTCCCTTCTATTTCATACTCTTTGATGTAGATAAATTGTATTAGTGTATGAATGTACCACTTGTTGTACCGTGCACCATGTACATATATGTATTTAGAATATGTATCACGTGTCTGCTATGCAAAATGCATCTAGAAATGAAGAATCATTACATTAAGATTCTTATATCTTTTGCTAACCAAATACTTCAATCATTCTAAATACTAAATTGTTCAATGCTCAGATTATCCAATCAACCCTGTGATCCTTAATTCGTGCATATTTTTATGATTCTTTCAATCATTTAGTCCTTAATTCCGTCAATCCCTTATTTCCGTCAATCCCTTAATCCCTTATTTTTTATTCCCTGAATCTCTTAATTCCTTAATTCCTTAATTCCTTAATTCCTTAATCCCTTAATCCTTTAATCCTTTCACCCCTTAACCCCTTAATCTCTTAGTCAGTAAACCCAATAAGTTAATCCAATTCGAGTGTTTAAATACTGAGAACTACTTTAAACTCTTTAACTATTAACCTTTGACTGTTGCATCTCTGTTAAACCTAAAACATGAAACGCCCCCCCCCCATGCACTTTATCTAATCTTTAAGTGCAAGAATTGCATTAATACTGCAGTTATGTGAGCTTTGAGTGCATCAAACATTAGAATCGAACAATAGAATAGTTTTGCCATTAGTCCGTCATGTTCTCTTATCAAAATAGTTTAGTGTGTTTATTTTTATATTATCACATATAATTATATGCAAGGTTATAATGCAAGGAAAGTTAATTGCTGTCGCGTATACTCTGCGTACATATTGAAACCAGTTCTCTCTGGGCGGAATTTGTAAACAAGAATAGATATCCTTACATATAAAGTTGTTCTTTGTGTTTCCTATCATAACGAACGAACCCCTGACCAATTTGCCTCTAATTTTGATTGGGTTAATCCGGTAGTATCAGGATATTATTTTACCCTTGTTGTAGACTTGTAGCAAAATGTAATGCTAGGTTCTCTCAAACTAATATATCTTTGGGTTTAAATAATACCAGAATATCTGCCTTCAAAAACTTGTTTTTTTTTGGGTGGTTCCACCTAATTAAACCTTTGACGCACTTGTTCCATTAACTTAATACTCAAATAAGTGTAATAACCTCAGGACAATGAGCTCATCTTAGAATGCATATATTGTGTTAACATTGATTTGGTTTATATACTATTTTGATCTTTAATATCATATAAATCTAGAACGTAACCGGCCCTTCTTAAGCTTTTTGTAATTTGTAATACCACACTTCTTTTTATTGAAAATATTATTTTAAACTAGATAACTTTGCTTTTGGTGTTCAATGCTTAACATAAAAATTGAATTAAATTAGACCGTTGAAAGCTTTTTTGTAAAAACATCGTTAATCTTTTGCTTGATACGCATTTCTCCATTAGATACCTAGATCAGAGATGAAGGATAAACTTTACCTGTTTCAAAATTTTCTTGCTTAGTGTAACACCTAGTATGTTTAATCGAACTGGATTAAAAAAATAAAAATGCTTACCTTTTAAGGATTTGCAAAATAAATATATTTTTGAATTTTAATCTGAATTTAGTTTAAAAGGATTTGTACTCTGTTCTGTATATACCCCATCTATAAACTATGTACTCTGTGTACTGTAAAGACCCCAACTATAAATAATGTACGCTGTGTACTATACAGACCCAAGCTATTAACTATGTACTTTGTGTATTGTAAAGCCACCGACTGTAAACTATGTGCTCTGTGTACTATACAGACCCCAGCTTTTAACTATGTACTTTGTGTATTGTAAAGCCACCAACTATAAAATATGTGCTCTGTGTTCTATACAGACCCCAGCTTTTAACTATGTACTTTGTGTATTGTAAAGACCCCAACTATAAATTATGTGCGCCGTGTACTATACAGACCCCAGCTATTAACTATGTACTCTGTGTACTGTAAAGCCACCAACTATAAACTATGTGCTCTGTGTACTATACAGACCCAGCTATTAACTATGTACTCTGTGTATTGTAAAGCCACCAACTATAAAATATGTGTTCTGTGTACTATACATACCCTAGCTATTAACCATGTACTCTGTGAACTGTAAAGCCCCCATCTATTAACTATGTGCTCTTTATTCTGTAAAGACACCAACTATAAACTATGTACTCTGTTTCCTGTATATACACCTACTATAAATTATGTACTTTTTGTACTATAGACCCCAGCTATTAACTGTAATGTACTGCAGGGCACCGGTCTACAACTGGAGCTCATTTGTCACTAAGAAACCGGTCTGGACCGATGGCAGCTGGAGTTTCCTTTGACAGGTATGGAAAAGGCCAACCTGGCCGGCCCAGCTAGCAGAAAGCGCAGGCTGGTCGACCCAGCAACAACCAGAAACCGGCGCACTCTCTAAATCTTACCAAAAAGAAAAATGATCAGGGGGCAAAGCGAATTCCTTGGTCTAGACATTGTTGACATTTTTTGTGCAAAGTTTTTTGAACCTCCTTTAAAGAGTCTTTTCCAGCATGCTTTTAAATCTGTTTAGAATTCTGCTTTGCTCTCCTGGTTCAAGGGTTTAACAGAACCCGGAGAACCCTTTCGTATCCAGGGACCAGGGGTACCTGGAGTAAGGTTTAGAGATGTGCCCTAACCCTTGTCGTTTGTTCTATTTTTCCTCTTTATCTCTTTTATTTAAGATTTGTATCTTAATCTAATCATACTTTTGATATCTATGTTGTATAATCTATAATTTAAGGGATAAAAAATGCTTAAATTCAAGAATTAATCAATTATTTAATTAATTGATTGAATCTTGTCTGCTTCATATTCTAGTTCAATTTTTTAATAATTAATTTTAAATGTGATATTTAGTTTGTTGTTAATACTAACCTAGGTCGTAGGTCTTGAGTTCATCCTGAGTTAACCTCAGAGTTAGTTAACCCTTGAGTTAGTTAACTCTAGAGTTAGAAAACCCTAGAGTTAGTTAACCAAAGAGTTAGAAAACCCTAGAGTTAGTTAACCAAAGAGTTAGTTAACCCTAGAGTTAGTTAACCCTAGAGTTAATTAACCCTATAGTTAGTTAACCCTAGAGTTAATTAATCCTATAGTTAGTTAACCCTAGAGTTAATTAACCCTATAGTTAGTTAACCCTAGAGTTAGTTAACCCTAGAGTTAGTTAGCCCTAGAGTTAGTTAACCCTAGAGTTAGTTAACCCTTGAGTTAGTTAACCTTATTCTTTATTGACTAGCTCTAATACCAAAAAGACTTAATGAACCTTAAACAAGTTATAGATATATTACTAACTGTCTAACTAATTACCTAACTTACTAACTGGTTTAGAAACTACGTATATACTGGTATAAGAAAGGGTTCTGTACCTGTACCTCTATATCTGGAACCAGTACAATGGTAAGCCTATACAGTGCACAGGCATGTACAGGCTGTACAAGGTTTTGGTTGATAAGCATAATACAACAAGAAGCGTGGTTTTGGTGCATGTGAACACTTGACAGATAATGTAGTGAAGGAACTTTTTACGGGGTTTTACGAAATCAATAAAGAGAGTTCAATAATGAGCCAAGTTTTCTTCAATGTTATCTTAACAAATACAAGTTGCAAATTCATTTCTTGGAAACATTAAAGCTTATTTGAGGAACAACATACATTGTATCCTTCCTCCTTTCTTGTTCATGGCTGTTGGAACTTACATTCCTCGGTCACTATATGTTACTGAATCTTAACCTAAGCACAACCTTTTTAAACTTAAGTTCTATTTCTGTACTTAAGTTTAAGTTTAAGAGTTCATTTTCGTGTACTTAAGTTTAATTTTATGTGCTTAAGTTCTTTTGTCAGTACTTAAGTTCAACTTTCTGTACTTCAGTTCAGTATTCTGTACTTAAGTTAAGCATTTTGTACCTAAGTTTAGCTTTCTGTACTTAAGTTCAGCATTTTGTACTGAAGTTAGGTTTTAGTACTTAAGTTCAACTTTCTGTACTTAATTAAGTTCAGCTATCTTTATTTAATTAAGTTCAGCTATCTGCACTTAAGTTCAACATTTTGTACTAAAGTTTAGCTTTCTGTACTTAAGTTGAACATTCTGTACTGAAGTTTAGCCCTTTGTACTGAAGTTTATCTTTCTGTATTGAACTCTTAACTTAAGTTAGGGTATCTTTACTTAATTCCAGTTTTCAACAGTTAAGTTTCATTATCTGTACTTAAGCTCTGTTTATGCTCTCTTAAACCACGTGAAACGGTTCTCTTGAGTAGGTTGAAGGGTGTGAAATTGCATGTACAAAACACGGTTTTAGGACATAAACAGTCTGAATTACATAAATGTGCTTTACAATCAACAAGGTTTTAAAATTAAAATCTATATTGCATGTTTAAAGTATATAAAGTATAAAAAGTACGTATAAATCAACTAACCTTGAAAATTTAGAATTTATGAGATCTGAAGTTAAATTTCATATTTTTCTTTTTTCTTTTATTCGCAAAAAGTTTTCAAAATAATCTTTTTATATTCTACCATTTCCTAATTTACAAGCGTTATTTTACCCAACCTTGCCCCCCCCCCCCTATCTATACCTTTGTAAAGATTTTATGGTTGAATCTCCAAGAGTCCTCCCACCTCTTTTTTATTGTTAAATTTTGTATATTTAGCCGTCAATTATTTAAATTGTCTCATATATACAAATATAAAAATATGAATAAATTCTTTTTAAGTTTTAATGAATTCTACATATAGATAATAGATATATGTAAATATATGCATGAACAATTTAAAAAAAAATTATGAATTTTATTGTATTTATAACTTTTATGCAAGAATTAAAATTCTTCATAGGTATGCTTTATATGACAAATTTCTTTTTTGATATACAAAGATACATAGGCATACATACATATATAATGATTCCAATGCAAACTTTTTAATGTAATATATGACCAATTCTACTAGTTGGGAATTTTGATGAAATAAAATCAGTTGTGAACTTGTGATTCATGCAAATTCAAGGTTTGGAAATTTTTAAATTTCATAAAAACTTTTATGACTACATATTTTAAAAATGACTTCATTTAATGATTATTGTTCAGTTAAACCAATTTTATATTCTTTTATGAAGTTTAATCAATTTTTGCATGAATTTAGAAAATAACATTTTTATGTAACATTGGGATTTTCGAAATATATACTTCCTGTAATATATCTTAATATCATTTTATCATGAAAATTGTTGCAATTTTAATTAATTTTTTTCTGGAAATGTTAGTTTAAAAATATTTGTTCAATAATATAAATTCAGTTGTAAATATAGTTTTGAAATTTTCAGGGTAAAATACAATCAAAATTTTATATTATTATTAATTGTTCAATTGTATTTTAAATTTTATCTAATTAAAATAAATGAAAAAAAATACTAATTAACTGCATAGTTTAAAAAGGTGTAACATCTCATTTAGAGAAAATGTATACAAATACAAGGAAAAAACTTACTGCATGGTTGCTTGACCGGTTTGGTTTGGCGTGTAAGCGTACTGCAAGCTTGTTGTGCATGTTTTATGCTTGAATAAAATGCTTCCCTCCTCTGTATGTTTGGAAGACGACCTTGTAAAGTAGTGCAGGTATTTAAAGGAATTGCAAACTTTATTGAAATAAACGTAAAGGGACTGTATGCGTAATTTCAAGTGTCTCTCCAAGCAAAGATGACAGATTAATATCGGCACCCTGGAAACTTTTGTCTTATTAATTTTTTACCCTTTTTTATATTTGCGGATTCTCTGCAGAAGTGACTTGCGCATTTCTTACTTTAAGAATCAATCGAGAAAAATCACAGAAATAAGCACTTTTCGAGACAGAAAAAAATACGATATTTACCACGTTTTTTGTCAGACTATAGTACCGTTGTGAATCAGGCATTGCCATCTTTGCATGGATGGTCACTTGAAATGCCTTCCATGCTTTCTGAATTTCCAAAATATTGTGAATAATGTGTATTTTAAGATAGGTGAGCAATTCCTTTACGCTTTGATATTATATTTATTTTCATTTTTCAATATTTATTATTTAAATAAACAATGTTGTTGAATTCTAAACGAAGTATATGTTTTTTTTTTAATTCGGCGATATTTTGATTTCAAAATTCTGGTCAAATATGTCTAGCTGATTATTTTCAAAACAAAGTGACGGATATAAACATGTTGCTCGGAGCTACGGCACAAATTTGAAATTAACAATGTATTTTATTTCAAATAGATCCGTTAGAACCTTTCCTATAGTCACTAATCTAACTCATCTAACCCAACTAACCAGTAACCATGACTAACCTTACTTAAAAATCTGTAGATATAAAAACCGCATGCTTTATTATCCCGCTACCATGTTTTATATCCCGCTACCATGTTTTATATCCATGTTTCGAGAATGAATTGTGTTTTCTTACACACAAGTGTGTGTTTTCTCTAAAAGTTGCCAGGACATGATTTTTTATTTAAATTTTATACGCTTAATTCTAAAAATCATGTGCAATATTTTAAAATTTTTCCAAATTCGAATAAATTTTTCGATTGTCGTTGAGATTTCGAGTGACCTTTTAATGAAAGTCCCATTTACATGTCAAAGATTTCGAATTTTTTCTTATAAAGTGATTGATTCTCAAAATTTTGTATGTGGTTTGAAGTCAGAATTCCGCAAGTTAATAAAATAAAGAAACCCCCATGGACAATAATAATCAGTTTGAAGAATAGAATAACAGTGATAGCTTCATCCTTTTGGCTCTGACAGGGTACCATATGTGTACTGGAAGTTCACTTGAAATTACGTCAATGCATTTTTACTCGTAAATTGGATAAAAAATATTTAAAAAATTAGAAAATTATATTAGCACTTTTTTATTTAATTAGGTGTGAGTCTCCTGCAACACGTCGTAGGTCTTCTGGGTACAATACTCAAGTACATAGTTCATACTCAAGGTATCTATTTATCTATTTATCTATTTATCTATTTATCTTTTTATCTATTTATCTATTTATCTATTTATCTATTTATCTATTTAACTATTTATCTATTTTTATATCTATTTATCTATTAATCTATTAATCTTTATATCTATCCATCTATCTATCTATCTACATACCTATCTACCTATCTATCCATCTACCAAGGAACTGGGATTCCCCCCGAGGAAGTTTGGCGAATATTGGCACCCCCCGGGATCTACATAGGGGGATTACTGGGCACACGCCCCTTCCTCGGTCCAGATCCCCCTCCGGATCCCTTCGAGGCTCACATGGAGGAGTACAGAGGATTGGAACTCTGGAGAGAGAACAGAGTAAACTGTCCAAGGTAAAATATCGGAGGCAAATACTTTTGGTTGGGATAGCGCTAAGCTTGGTATCCACGGCATGAACTTCTAAATTTAGGAATTTACAATTGATTCCCGGGATTAAGATTAAGATTAAGATTAAGATTAAGATCACCAAAATTAGGACTAAGTTTAAGACTAAGATTAAGACTAAGATTAAGATTAAGATAAAGATTAATTTAAAGATAAAGATTAATTTAAAGATAAAGATTAGTTTAAAGATTTAGATTAAAATTACGATTAAGATTACGATTAAGATTAGGATTAAGGTTAGGATTCAGATTAAGATTAAGATTAAACTGCCATTGGGGGAGGGGAACTAGCTGACTGAGCGCTTTATAAGCAGATTTAAGGTTCAAAAGTTGTGGCTTCTGATCGATGCAAGAAGATAAATACAATGATAAAATATGTAGATTGGAAACCTTGAATTGATAGAGATATTAACTAGCAGAATACCTGTTTAATTGGCAGGAAGATATATACGTAGAAATACATAGATATATATATATAGATTCAATAGATATATACATAGAAATACATAGATATATATATATATAGATTCACTAGGCCTTACAGGCTGCTTTGCGCCCTTTTTCTAGTAACATTTTTAGCTTTTTACTATTTTTTTATTTTTTAATTTTTTTGTTATTTAGATAAACTAGCGGATTTATAGAATAGAAAATGTTCTAGACTTAGTTTAAGAAGATATAGATTAAGTAGATATATCAGGTGGATTAGACGGTTCTGTCAATATTCCAGAAAACTGTGACTTTCGATCACAATTTGTTCTATTAAACATCATTTTTTAGCCTTTTTTCTTATATACTTTCTTGTTGGCATATGCATTTTGAATAAAAAGTATAAAACAATCAAATCCGTAAGCTTAAAGGTTGTTTAATTATAGACCAAAACGCGTATGATTTCAAATAAAATAAACTGAATGCCTCTAACTCTGGTTAGTCCGGTGTGATATGGATAGATAGATAGATAGATAGATAGATGTATATACATATAGATAGATAGACAAGTAAACCTACGTGGAAAAGAAATTGCAGCAGTTATTTTGTAAGTGTAATAATTGATGAGAAACTATAAAGATCCTGCAGCGTATAAACCCGTGGGTTTAGTTTTGCTTTAGGCTAAATTATACTTTTTTACATATTGTACTAAACATTATTATGCAAGGTCATAATGCAAGGAAAGTTAATTTCAGTTTCGTATACTCTCTGCGTACATATTGAAACTAGTTCTCTCTGGGTGGAATTTGTAAACAGTGTTCAATTGGTATCCGAGGAGGATAAAAGCATTAAATTTTGAAAATTTTGATAATTCACATAATAGTTTTCTATGACCAGAATATTTCATTGACTTTTTATGTGGAAGATGGATCCCATGTCAGGCTGTGACATCCGTCGTACACTGCAGTACACAAGATGCGTACACCTTTGAAATAACTTTCCTTGCATTAGTACCTTGTTATTATGCATTTGTTGAGTAGTGTGACCGATTCAATGCGGTACCTTTTAACGCTTTGTTTGGGCAAAAATGAAGGAGAATGGTAAAATTGTGAATCGGTTTAAAATTGAGGCCCACCTAGAACTAAAGCTACAGTCAATATAAATTTATGGTTAATGACATTTTGTAACATAATTGTCTCATACAGACACAGTTAAAAACAGCAAACACATGATGTCTCAAAATTTGATATTAGTTTAGTATGCATGTACATTTCTCCCTTACAGTCTATTTCTATATTATACTGTACATTTCTCACTTACAGCCTATTTCTGTATACTGCACATTTCTCACTTACAGTCTATTTTTGTATACTGCACATTTTCCTAACGCATATTTTGTAATATTTATTTTAAATAATGAAATTGTGCATTACCAAGGGGTATCAAATGATGTTTTGCAGAGCAGATTGGCAGTAACCCATTGTGGTGGTATAATAAATGTTATTTTCCATTGGTACTGAGTATATGCATTTAATGAATGTTGATTATGCTTTCTTGAAACGAATTAAATGATAAATTGTTATCAAGCCTAAGGCTTGAGTAATATAATACTTTATCATTGATAATTAATCTCTGCAGGGGGAGTTGTCTAAAGTTTAAAGGGGGCGAAAAATATCCAAGAAAAAAGTAGTTAAACTGAGTACGGTTGGTTAAACTACTTGAGACGGGTAGCGCAGACAATTAGTTGAATTATCCATCTTTCAATATTCTTAAAATCTTTTTTATTATCTTTGTTTATAGTCTAAGCATTCTTAAAAAACAAACAGAAAGACCAAGGAATTAGTATTGCTTGTTGACCCAGTTATTTTTTTTATGCAGGGGTGTATATTTTCTTTGAAAAATTCTTGAAAATATGTTGCTCCTTCAGTTTTCGTAAATTAAAACAAGAATAAATGAGTTCTAATGCGGATAGATTTTATTGAATACTCATATTATTTAGAAGAATTGTAAAATGACCTCTTTAGTATTCGTAAACTTTCTCTTTAAATAATACCATATATATTTTTATATATATATATATATATATATATACAATAAAGCCTGTAATAGATTCTGGATTAGCATATTTTCAGCATTAAGCTTGAACCTATAATCGTTCACCCTCAGGAGAATGGATCATTTGTAAAATCATTTTTATTGTATGATAATGATACTTTTTGTTTTATAAATGAAGCCAAATTTGGCAAATTTTTATCACTTATGGTTAAAGCTTATTGAAAGCAAAAAAATGACTGTAAGCGTTAGTTTAAGTGACCCTCCATGCAAAAATGGCAATGCTCGATTTATAACGGTACCATTTAAAGTTTTTTCTAATTATGTATTAATTCTTTAAAATGTTTATTTGCATTCGCGGGTTATCTGCGCAAGTGACAATAGCGTATTCCTTGTTTATAAGAAGCAACGGAGAAATAAACACTGTTCAAGACAGAAAACAGAAAAACTACTGTTGCTTCCACATTTTTTATCAGATTAAGTTTTCAAGGGTTCCGTTGTTAATAGTACATTGTTATCTTTGCACGAAGGATCTCTTGAAATTACTCTTACACTGTACTGTCTCTTTAAGTATTTATTATTTAATTGTTTGTGATTAGGATCGCATTGAAGTATCTGGGTATAGAAGTTACTCATCCTGTAGTTTACTCCCTGAACCAGGACACAGGTACAGGATTTACCTCAAGAGAAGATATCAAAAAAATATCTAAATCTCTAAAACCAATAAAAAATATGTACACCAGGAACCGCCAAATCTATGTTTACAAAACTAGCGTACTTGAGTTTCTGGGAGGAGTGAAAACAGAACTAAAAAATCTCGAGACTATATGTTGGCACTATTCTGATCTAGTTGTGTCTAAAAATTTTAAACTAAAAGTTACTTCATCAAAGCTCACTAAATCAATAATCAGGTCTATTTTCGAACGTTACAATTGAGTACAATATTCAAGACATATTTATTTAAATAACAGTTTTCGTGGATTTATTAATATCTTCATCATTATTCACCATGTTGTCAAAAGAAAACATCATATTTGATTCTCTATTTGATGTTTATTAATATTCAATATTTATATGGGGGGGTGCGGGGCTAAAAACAACCCTTAAAGATCGAGACGAGTTATCAATTCATTTACATTCTTTTAAAAGAAGTTTACCTAAACATTAATTCTTTTTACACACAGGTAGAAAAAAATAATGAAAACTCTGCGAAATAAATCCTATATATGTAGCTGATATACTATAGTAGTAGTTTTGTTTTTTGATTATTGTACTTTAACAATGTTAAAAAAAGAAGATCATTGAAAATAATATTTTAATTCCAAAATGAAAACTAAAAAGAGTGTCTGCAATATTCACGTGAATATCCAACGAAGGAGGGGCATGTTCTATTCACATTCGATACCGTTGAACAACTTTTTCTGATCAATAATGTGGAAGATATCGTTATCTAGTTTAAAATATGTTTAATTCTGACAATTTTCTTTGTTTTTCTGATTTTTTTAGGAGAGCCCACTTTTAAAAAAAGTCTATGTTGTCTCTTTTTGAAAAGAAAAACTGAATATTTATTATTATTATTACTGATTATTATTTAGAGACGGAGTTCAAGTTTGTGACTCTAGCTCTGAGGTATCAGATGAGGGATACAAGTCTAGTCAAGGAAATGTTAGCAAACTTGAAGGAGGTAGAGGAGAAGGAGGAGACGGAGGTGAAGGAGGAGAAGGAAGAGAAGGAAGAGAGGGAGAAGGAGAAAGAAGGGAAGAATGTAAAAGAGAAAGAACTTCAGAAAATCTTTCAAGAACTTCAGGTGTGTAACCTTTATTTTTGTATAGCTTTAAACCAATTGAGCGGAAACTGGTGTAATTTGTGCTTGTGTCCACTCTTCAAAATGCCTCCCCCCCCCGCACGTCCAAAAACATGTTTTATTTCTTGTGCTTAAAATCAAAGCTAGAGGAGCTACAAAGTCACAAAGTTGTACCGGTGAGGTTACATATATTTTACCAAGGTTATAATGCAAGGAAAGTTAATTGCAGTTGCGTATACTCTGCGTACATATTGAAATCTGTTCTCTCTGGGCGGAATTTGTAAACAAGAATAGATGCATCAGTGTTCGTTTAGTATCCGAGGAGGATGAAAGTATTAAATTTTGATAATTTTGATAATTCACATAATAGTTTCCTATGACCAGAATATTTCATTGATTTTTATGTAAGAGATGGATCCCATGTCAGGCTTCGACATCCGTCTTGTGTTTACATTACCGCCCAGAAACAGTACACTGCAGTACAAAAGATCCGTACACCTCTGAAATAACTTTTCTTGCGTTATAACCTTGGATTTTACCTTCTCCGTCTGTATATTTTGCGGCCCCTTTATACTTCACTACTATTTCAAATTTCTTTCTATAAATTTCCCAAAATATTGTGGTTGAAACCTAAATTGTTTTGTAAAAATTTGTCCCAGGTCTGTTTCTTATGTATATTTATTGAAATAGGAAACACTAGGAATCAGCATTAATTGTGCTTTTTAATCAATCTTGGCTTTTAATGTACTTTTTTTCGCAGATGTTTCTGTTGATTTCCAAAATTCAAAAAATTAAGATTTTGAATTCCGATAATTTCATTCATTTAAGATACAATAAAAAATTTATACGCAATCATCCAAATGTGTGTGTAGACATCATGAATATTCCTATTTTTAATATTCCTTGCTTGAAAAGTCTATATCTAGATATTTACAAATTGTTCTGGTGCTGTAGACATTTATTTCTCTCAAAGTAGCAAATAAAAACTAACAAAATAGAACAAGAACTCCGCCAAGGGAGGGGAGTTTATATTGCCAAATATACAGAATCTTTTTTGGTATATGAAGGGGTTTTAATTTTTTTAAAGATTTCACAAAAAAATTCACAAAATGCAGAATTTTTTATTTTAAACATTTTGTTTTCTTAAGCTATGCCAAATTTTGACCCTGAGAAGAAAAACAAAAATACAAACCATAAACGAAATATAAACGAACCATGAACGACTAATTATAAACGAAGAACCATTAACGAACCATAAACGAACCATAAACGAACCATAAAAGAATCATAAACGAACCATAAACGAACCATAAACGAACCATAAAAGAACCATAAACGAACTATAAACGAACCATTAACAAACCACAAACAGACCATAAACGAACTATAAACGAACCATAAACGAACCATAAACGAACCATTGACGAATCATAAACGAACCATAAACGAACCATAAACAAACCATAAACGAACCATTAACGAACCATAGAACCTAATTTTTTGGTATTTTTTCCCTAATATTTTCTTTTAAGGATAAAAATATTCCAATGTTAAAAAAGCAAATTTTTACAGAATACAGTTTTGAAATGATTGAAGTGTTGTTAAAAAAACAAGCCAATGTACATGGTGTCCCACAAAACATGACAGTTGGTAAATAGGTTTGAATGTCTTCTTCCATATACTGAATTAGATATCAAAGACTTTTTGCAGTTTATTTCTTTAAAAACATTTTTAACTCTTTACTCTTTAGTATCAAACAATTTATCAAATCATGGAGGAAGACATTTTAAACTATTCACCAACGTTTCATTGGACACCCTGTATGTCTCATCACTAGCAACGACAGAAAATCACGAATACACTTGTATTCATGTTGCTTTACATTTCTTGGGCTATTTAAAATCATGAATTTAACTTCTTGTTTATATTCCAAAGTGGTATGGGTCCCTCTGTAGATGGCCGGATATATGTTGAGATGGAATAACAGATTAATGATTTGGTTGGCAACAAAGATGAAATGGATGAATGGATGAATGGATGAATATATTGATGTATTTGGAGAAAGTTTAACTTCCAATAAAGTTTATTTCCTTGGCAGAAAACAGTAAATTCTTAAACTTTATCTTATCCTAGAGTAAGTTTGTGGAAACCAGTTGAAATAGAACCCGGATAATACTTGGATATGAGGGAAACCTGAACCAAGATTATTTTCACATTTTCTAATATTTCGTTATTTTCAGGTCGTCCAGATTCAAGTTTAACAGTAGCCTCGGACTGTAGTTCTACCATCTCTACAGAGGACGAGGAGACGGTTCCTTTATCTCCATCCCCTCCCCTGCTCCCAAACCCCCCGGAGCAACCCGGCATATCGGAGCTCAAAAATCCGGGAACTCACCTTTCTCCTGCTACAAAAAGCCGGCTTGCTAATCTGTTCAAGAAAATCCCCAAGTTTTCAAAGGACTCGAGGGCCGAGAAAGGGTTAATTGAAAACAATTCTAGTCAAAACCTGCCAACCTTAAATAGTGCCAAGAAACCCTCTAGTTCTCAACTAAGAACCCTTCCCCCTCCCCCCTCCTCCGCTCACAAACAGAAGACGACATCAAACGTACAAAGAACGCGGTCAATGAGCAGTGATAATGGTTTTGGTCGGGGCTCGGAGCGTGGCTCGTACCGAGCTCCTAAGGGTCAGAGCAGATACATGCAAGCGGCGGAGGCATATAGAAACAAGAGTGTATCCGGCACTTGGTCCTCCGCCACACCCTCTAGAAGTCGACCCGCCCTGGCCTCAGATACATTTACCCCACGCCCAATTCGAACTGCCTCGGCATCTCCTGCTCCAACCAGAAAACGGTTTAACTCCGGCTCGAAAGAAAGTTCCCCACAGTCAAGCGGTGGATACGTGATCACAAGCACCCAGTCAACCCCGTCCAGAAAACCTATACGGCGGAGTGAAAGCCGGGAGCTTGAACTAGAGACAGATGAGATGATCCTACGTCGAATGGAAGAGATCTTGTTTACATACAAGAGCAAGGTTGAGGATAGATTGGCTGCGGAAGGGAAGGAGCTCCCTAAAGATATTTTTCAAGATTTTACCGAACACTGGATCAACTCTTCTCCCTACAGAGCTAAATCAGTTGATTCCCTTGACTCCGGTGATAGATCTATTGATAAGAGTTCTGAAAGAACTCCAAGTATAGTTAAGACCAGGAAGGATACTAGAGAAGGATACTCTAGTACCAAGATACCAGTCCCAACCTTCTACAAGAACTCAATGTCTTGAGGAAGTAAAGAAAGAATTACTAATATTTGTAACAATAGTGCATATCAAGCTAGAGACAAATCAATGGAAGTCCACGACTAATTTAATCGATTGTTAAAATTCTAACGTTTATTGTGATTGCTCAAACATAGGTGCTTTAATTAAACCAGAGGGACAGAGTAAAAAAGGTTTTAAAGGGACAGTAAAGGAAAAAATGAAAGGGGGTATAGGCTGAAAGCTAATCACTTTAGCTTTTCATCGAGACCCTTGAGACGCCTATCTGAAGTTCCTAACTCGAGAATTGATATAAAGCTGTTTCAAACTTGTACGAAAATGCAGATATATACAATTTCGTATAGAAATAGTAGGTTTAAACAGACCATGCTCAGAAAAACAGCAACCAATCTGAAAAAGATGATATCCCAGAGAAAGCTAATTGTAATTTAGGTTTACTTTTATATTTGTTGTTTCTATTTTCAATAGATTTCATTCATAATATTATTTTTACGTCCGTATTACTTGACCAGAAATTCCACCAATGGCAGTGCAGTAAAGTGGTCACGTGATACAGTGACCAGTATACTGCTCTGCCATTGGTGATAGTTCTGGTCACCTGATTTAAGTTTTAGATTTTCAAAATTTTACATATATGAATTTTCGTATAATTATAACACAGTTTTATATCAATTATTCGAGACAGGAACATCAGATAAAACTTTCATGAGTCGCGATCAAGAGCTAAAGTGATTAGCTTTCATCCTATATCCCCTTTCATTTTTCCTTTACTGTCCCTTTAAGTTCTGATACAATTTGAATTTAAAAAAATACTTCCTTGATTCTAAAACCAAGCATTTTTTAGCATTTCATAGACCAAAAATAGATTTTTTTCATAATAGACAATAATATTTAAGATTATTTTCATGCATGCAATAAGTTCATTTTCAATAGACATGTCTTAGAGATATATCCTAAGTTTTCTGCTGCAAATTATAGTAAGTCCTGAAAATCCAGTAAAATCAATATGTTCTCTGTCTGGAGAAACTTTCAGCTGGGTTTTCTTTCATTTAAAAACAAACGAGAAAGTTTCCAAAGCTGAAGATTTATAAAATTTATATTTTAGGGGAATGTTAAAGAACATATTTAGATTAAGTGGAAAAAGAATATAAAAATACAGTAATTTATTAAGGTTTTATCAGTTTTCAGCTTATGTATACAAATAATGTACCAGAAGCTATATTCTACACTATGTACCGTTTAATGTACAATGTACAGTATATTTAACAGTAAAATTTACAATTTAACTATGAAGAAAACTGTACGGATGAATTAATTTACTAATTGTTGTACCGAAGTGCTTACTTCAGAGAAAATGTACATGTACAGAATATCCTCTGTACACATGTACACATGAACGTACAGTGAGCAACTGTACTGGCTGTGAGATCAATGTATATATTATGTACGTATGCACTATACAGTATGTAACTAAATATTAGGAGTATTTTAACCACTGTGATTAATAAACCATTGTTAACCAAAACCATTACTTTGGAAATATAGAGATATACTAGAACCAGCCTTATTATTATTATTTTTATTATTGTTATCATAAATGCAATGGGTTGAAATAACAGAAGAAATTTTAAATAGGAAATGCATGAGTTTGATGTGGAGGGAGGGGAGGGGGTAATATCTTCATAATAGGAATTGCTAGGGATAAGGATAAAGGAAGTGCATCAGGGATGAAGGAGGTAAAGGGAGGGTAAGTATCCAGGAAGTATATGAAGGATCAGTATCAAGGAAGTATATGAAGGATCAGTATCAATGAAGTGTATGAGGGATAATTATCAAGGAAGTATAAAAGGATCAGTATCAAGGAAGTATAATGGAGGCTAAGTATAAGAAAGTATATGAAGGATCAGTATCAAGGAAGTATATGAAGGATCAGTATCAAGAAAGGGTAAGTATATATGAAGTATATGAAGAGTAAGTACCAAAGAAGTAAAGGAAGGGTAATAGGCTAGTATCAAGAAAGTATATATATGAAGGGTAAGTATCAATAAAGTGTGGGAAGAGTTCAAATCAAGGAAGTATATAATGGGCGAAGTACATGAATTAATGGTAAGGTATATAAAGGGCTAAGTACATGTATGAAGGGTAATGTATATGATGGGATAAGTACACATATGTATGGTAAGTTATAAGAAGAGCTAAGTACATGTATAAAGGGTAAGGTATAAGAAGGGCTAAATACATGTATGAATGGTAAGGTATATAAAGGGCTAAGTACATGTATGAAGGGTATATGATGGTCTAAGTACATGTATGAATGGTAAGTTATAAGTAGGGTTAAGTAAATGTATGAATGGTTAGGTATATGAAGGGCTGAGTGCATATATGAAGGACTAAGTAGTAAGTACATGTATGAAGGGCTAAGTACATGTTTAAAGGGTAAGGTATATGAAGGGCTAAGTACATATGTGAAAGGTAAGGTATGAAAGGAAGGGCTAAGTACATGTATGAAGGGTAAGGTATGTGAAGGGCTAAGTACAGGAATGAAGGGTAATGCATATGAAGGGCTAAGTACTTGTATGAAGGGCTAAGAACATGTATGACGGATAAGGTATATGAAGGGCTGAATATCCATATGAAGGGTAAGGTATATGAAGGGCTAAGTAAATGTACATGAAGGTTAAGGTATATGAAGGGCTGAGTACTTGTATGAAGGGCTAAGAACATGTATGACGGATAAGGTATATGAAGGGCTGAGTATCCATAAGTAAATGTACATGAAGGGTAAGGTATATGAAGGGTTGAGTACATGTATGACGGGTATGGTATATGAAGGGTTGAGTATCCATATGAAGGGTAAGGTATATGAAGGGTTGAGTATCCATATGAAGGGTAAGGTATATGAAGGTAAATGTACATGAAGGATAAGGTATATAAAGGATAAGGTATATAAAGGATAAGGTATATAAAGGATAAGGTATATAAAGGATAAGGTATATGAAGTGTAAGGATCAAGGATCCATGATAAGATAAGGATCAAGAAAATGCAAAACAAAAAACAAAATGCACAGTTTCCTCGTCTCTAAGCTGTCATGAGTTTCACCTTCTATTAAAATTAATGACACCATATCTACTAAACATCTTATTCAGAATTCTCAAGAGTTGACTTTTTCAACCTTCATTTAGAGTTATCCAGCAAAAAATTGTGAACATGAAAATTTACATATGGAAACTTTGGAATAAAGTTTACCCAAAAAAGTTTGAAATTTGTGGATTTTGTTCGAACAAATTGTTCACATGTGATGATGTGGCCCATATTTAATTTACAATAAACTAAACCCCCTTCTAACAAAAGACCTCAATTGCGCCTTTGATGACAAACAACAACTTCATTAGTGATAACCAGAAAATTGTAGACTAAAGAGACAACATTAAAGCAATATACTGAAATGCATTTTATGTTATTGTTGCAAAACAAATAGCTTTGTAGTATATGTTTAACTCAATTATGAAGTGAAATGGGTCTGTTTACACTGCACAATTCCTGCGCCTCAATGTTATTGGAATATTAAAAGTCATAACTTGAGTCTAAAAGTGGACTTCCTATTCCAGAGTTTTCTGGTTATCATTCTACATGTTAAGAGTGCAGTCTCAAATAACATTTAATAACTTGGGTTTAAAAAGGCTTGTAAACCTATTCATTGTTTCAGTTTGTAATTGAGAAACATCAACAAAGGAATTGAGTTTTTGTCAAAAACTCTGATTTTCTTATCCCTTTCTCTTTGCATTTGAATGTCGGAAACCTTAGATATTTCATTTTAGATCAAATAATGATAGTTAGAAATATTAAAGGTTTACACAGGGGGCGGAAACGTCATGTGTGTGTGTCTGTACCAAAAGAGTGTGTGTCAGTTTAAAGTACCGAAGGTGTGTACTGTAGGTTTATACAGTACGTAAGAATCTCGAACTGGTCTGCAAAGCAGTGCGACTGGCTTTCTCTTGCCGGACCAGCGCCATTTCCTTTCCCTATATTCCTGTTCCCTGGGTTTACACCATCATCAGGTTGAAAAGATATGGCGATTGTAAAATCATAATTTGTGGCAAAAACTCAGTTCCATTAAACTGAAAGATTGATATTTTGTCAAAAATTCCGATTCACAACTTTACCCTTAATTTAAACCTTTGTTCAGTAACAATAATGAAGATATCATCGTTTTTCCATCTTAAATACTGTATAATTAAGCCAATTTCCTGCATTGTTTCTGTTCAGAGTAAGTTTTCAAAGATACCGTTGTGAATTGAACGTGTCACTCTAGATATTACTCTATACCGTCCTATCTAACTTGATCCTTCTTTACGTGCATTTGCTAATATTAATATATGCATGTCCTTTATTAGCTATACGCACGTAAGCGCGCACTGTCTGCTCTGATTTTACGTGTTTTCGCCGCGTATTATAAAAATCTATTGAACAAATCTTCATGTTTCATGATAAATTGAAGGACAAATTGTAACAAAGTAACTGCAGCATTAAACATCCTTTATAACAATTTAGCGGATGTTTGTCATAGAGTAATAATATTATAGACGGTCCATCTAGAGAATGTTTGTTATAGAGAAATAATATTATAGACGGTCCATGTAGAGAATGTTCGTTTTAGAGAAATAATATTATAGACGGTCCACCTAGAGAATGTTTGTTAAAGAGAAAACATATTATAGACGGTCCATCTAGACAATGTTTGTTATAGAGAAATAATATTAAAGACGGTCCATGTAGAGCATGTTTGTCATAGAGAAATAATATTATAGACGGTCAATCTAGAGAATGTTTGTTATAGAGAAATAATATTATAGACGATCCATTTCTAGAATGTTTGTTATAGAGAAATATTATCATAGACGGCCCATCCAGAGAATTTTTGTCATAGAGAAATAATATTATAGACGGTCCATTTAGAGAATGTTTGTCATAGAGAAATATTATTTTAGACGGTCCATCTAAAGAATGTTTGTTATAGAGAAATATTATTTTAGACGGTCCACTAGAAATAAGCGTTTAGATAATGAAGAGGAGGGAGAGGTTTTGACCGACGTGTGGTTAAAATATTGTGGTCTGAAGCTAAATTGTAATTAGCAATTGGTTTTTTATTTTAAACATTTTGTTTTCTTAAGCTATATAATGAAGAGGAGGGAGAGGTTTTGACCGACGTGTGGTTAAAATATTGTGGTCTGAAGCTAAATTGTAATTAGCAATTGGTTTTTTATTTTAAACCATGTTTTTAGATTTTTTTTTTTGGGGGGGGGGTGTAGTCGAGAATAAAATCTGTTTGACTCTTTGCCTCTAAAAATCTCAAGTGAGTATAGAAAAGCAAAAAAATTTTCTCTCTATTTCTAAAATTTCATAAAAACCGGATTTACAGGGATAAAGAAAATTCACAAAATTGTATGTATTAAATTCACACTTTTAGTTATTTATCCCAATATTTAACCAATGGTCAATCTTAGATTAGAGTGAAAGCAGTTATAAGGACATTTAGAGTAATGTGCAACTAGTAGCTGTGCTATTGTAAAATCTATAATGAACAGTACAATCTATTATTTTATTGGGGGATTTTATATATCTCTAAATTGGTTGACATTTCTGAATTTAATTGAACTTATCTACTGTCACATTTTTGACTACTTTTTTAGTTTTGATTGAATAAAGATTCACAAACTTTTGTGGGGAAATTCTGCTAAAAATTAGTCAGGGGGAGACAATTTATAGTTTCAAGCTCTGAGACTATAATCATCCTTTTTCCTCATATTGTATGCATATATACATGTATACATCTATACATTGTCGGAATTAAAATTAAAAGGATAGAGAGGTACAAATCATCGTAAAATCATTATATCGAAGATAATTGTCTGTGATATTATGTTAGGTTCTGACTTTAAGAAGATGTGGCAATTATAAAATGTTTTTAATTAATCAGTAAAGATTAGAGCAGCTTAAAGTAGGGCTGGGCACGTTCCGACTTTTTTGAAATCGTTCCGTTCCGTTCTAGAACGAAGGCCTTCAGCTAAATCGTTCCGTTCTCGTTCCTCTTTTTTTTATCGTTCCGTTCTCGTTCCGTTCCGTCCCGTTCCGTTCCGTTCTGAGTAGAAGAACGGTCTTCCCGTTCCGTTCCGTTCCGTTCTTTTACTAATCGTTCCAATATTTTTAAGAACGTGTTCTAAGCGTTCGTTTTTTTTCGGAACGATGGGATCGTTCTTGATCGTTCCGTTCGTTCTCGGCAAAGAACGATCGTTCCACCGTTAACGCGCCCAGCCCTAGCTTAAAGAGACTGTAAGCGTAATTTAAAGAAAATATTGAAATACCCGATTTACAATAGTATCGTGAAATGCTTTGTCTGATTAAGCATGATTTAGATATCAACCTTTAAGTTTCTTTAAACTGTTTATTGTCAGTTGCAGTTTCTCCGAAAAAGAAGCAAGGGATAAATTAACACTTTTAGAAAAACGACTACACCTTTCACATTTTCAAAAAGAGTAAGATTTTAAGGGTACCGTTGTAAATCGGGGTGTATCCGGTAATAAACACATTTAACCTCAACCAAGGTTATAATGCAAGGAAAGTTATTTCAGAGGTTTACGCATCTTTTGTACTGCAGTGCACTGTCTCTGGGCGGTAATGCAAATACAAGACGGATGTCGAAGCCTGACACGGGAGCCATCTTTCACATAAAAAATCAATGAAATATTCTGGTCATAGCAAACTATTATGTGAACTCTCAAAATTATCAAAATTTAATTCTTTTAATTCCTCCTCGGATACTTAACGAACACTGATGCATCTATTCTTATTTACAAATTCCACCCAGAGAGAACTGGTTTCAATATGTACATAGAGTATACGCAACTGCAATTAACTTTTCTTGCATTATAACCTTGACCTCAACCATCATTCTTTTCTGTACATTTTAAATGACAAAACCAATATCTCTAAAGATATCGTCGGTTTTCCATTTTGTGAAAAATTCTGATAAATTTCCTAAAATTCTATTTATCTTAAATCTGCAAATTACTGTTGCAAAGAAAAACGAATGTTAGATGAAATCAATCTTTCAACAAGTTTTAGGCTAATTATTTAGTAAAATCTTAGAGTTTTTGATTAGTTTAAGAGATTAATTTCACTAATTTCCTTTGTAACAATTATCTTTAGCATGAATCCTATATGAATACAGAATTTCAACATTTTAAGACGACATTTCAAACCTTTTACATGTCAAGCGTCTAAAAGTGTTCCTGGAATAAATTAATCACTACGATATTAGTAGCATTTGATTTAGTCGAGGTTTCGGGATCTACAATAGAGAACTGAAAAAAATACATTTAAAATTTTATGATTACAATGTATTCGTTTAAATATGAATTTGTTTGCTAATTGTTAACTTTATATTATGAGTCGATCAAATGTGTCTAATGTCCATGATAATAAAAAAAATCAAATGTATAATGAATGGTTTTTAAGAATAGAATATCAAAAGATTAGATATATTATGATTTATTCTCATCATACAATGAATATAATTTTTAAACAATTAAGAATCTGGTAGAGTCCAATTTGTAATTAATCAATATCTTGAAGGCCTCGTAGGTTCATCTCCAGTTCTATCCTAAATGTTCAACAATAAGTAGACTATTATACAGGGTGTCCCAAAAAACATGGGAATTCAGTGACGAATTCGATATCGTCTTTATGCCTGAGGACTCAGGCAGTTAGTATTAAAGCCCGGTTTTAGGCCTAAAGGGAGGGCTTTGGGTATGTAAGAAAAGTCAGAAAATTTCAACAGCCTCAGACAAATACTTTTTGAGTTATGTAAAAAAAACTACAGGGGGGGTCAAATTGACCCCCTCCCAGCGGGAATAGGGTTAACTTTTATGCCCTCCCGCTTGCGTTAACTGTTCTGTTCTTTAACCTGTGTTAACTATTCTGTTCTTCAACCTGTGATAATTGTTTTGTTCTCTAACCTGTGCTAAATGTTTTGTTCTCAAACCTGTGTTAAGTGTTCTGTTCTCTAACCTGTGTTATACGAGTTCTGTTCATATGTTAACTGTTCTGTTCTCGAATCTGTGTTAACTGTTCTGTTCTCTAACCAGTGTTAAATTTTCTGTTCTCCTGTGTTAACTTTTCTGTTCTCTAATCTTTGTTAATTGTTCTGTTCTCTAACCTGTGCTGTGTTGACTGTTCTGTTCTCTAACCTTTGTTAAATTTTCTGGTCTCCTGTTTTTACTGTTCTGTTCTCTAATTTGTGTTAATTGTTCTGTTCTTTGACCTGTGCTGTGTTGGCTGTTCTGTTCTCTAACCTGTGTTAATTGTTCTGTTCTCTGCTGCATGATTCTGATAAAATAAGGATGAGCGTTCTGATGTGATCTCCTTGCTTCCCTCTGTTCTCTCTCTCTAGCTAGTTCTTCTAGTTCTACTCTGATACGGTAGCGAATATAGAAAAACCTGAATTTTACAATTTTTAATATCAATAGATAGATTGTAATTGTGGGTCAGACTGTTTTTCTGTAAAACCAAGTTAGTCACAACGATAATTTGAAACGTATTCGATTATATAAATTGCTTCAGCCTTTTAAACCTCATTGACAATCAATTTATAATAATAATAACTTGTACTTTACATATTTATCTAATAATATATATTTGCATTCTGTACATATGATCAATCGTTGTACAGTCAAACCCTTAATAACGAATACATTGGAAGAATTTATCAAATGTCGTCTTGACAATTTTTCAACGAATTTTATACTATATTACGTAAATTTCAGTATTTACGAAAATAAATAAATATCCATGAATATGCAGGAACAGTTTTAAAGAGTTCCATATAATCATTTAATTAAAAAACTAAATATCTGCAACATTCCATTTTCAGAAAGTGAAGAATACAACATTTGATGAATTCTTTCGATGTATTCGTTATTAAGGGTTTTACTGTAGTTCACTGACCGTATTATCAATTGTTTATTTTTACCTGTACCATTAGACTTAAATATAGTTAGTTGGATATAGAACTCTGAATACGAATGGTTGAGTTGATCTTTGATCGGTACAGAAATAGATTCAGAGAGTGTGAGTTATAAAGCACTTATAGATAAACTTTTATAGTTTGGGCAGTCACTGAATTCCCATGTTTTTTGGGACACCCTGTATTTAATTATACTAAAACATTGTTTTAATGTCGTCTTCCTATTACACAGTGTTCTAGTTCTAACTGTAGTAGCTGCCATCTGATTTCATTTTCATATTCAGATTCAGATCCGGCCCCCAGACTTATAGGGTTCAAAACAGGTTATCTTACACTGGCTAAAGCTTAAAAGTATTGTGTAGAAGTTTTGAGGCTTAACCAAATAAATATCTCATTTATTACTTTCCATCTCAAATCAACGTAATATATTCTAATCAATTACGATTAAAACTTAGTTCTATTTTGTTATCTCCAGATATTTTCATTTCAAAATAATTTCTTTTGATGATTATTATTAAACTGGAGAATCCCATGTAACTATTAAACAATATAATTATGCTGATGTATAAGTGAAGGGATTATAAAACTGAAACAAGGGCGTAAACAATGGGGGGGGGGGGGAGGGGGGGGCAAGGTGCCCCACTCTAGACTCCTCATGATGAGGTGTAACTTGTCTTTTTCGAGCAATTTTGCCCCCCCCCCTCCTATATCAAATCAAACATAATGAATTCCTATCAGCCTCTTTATTATTAATATCAGTTTTATGATCATGATTATGATTTGCTCCTTAGGCCATTAATTTTGAACAATAACACAAAAAATGTTAATATTAATATCCCCTTATATTGAAATCTTATGTTTTTAATTATAATTACTCTCATTTAAGAGCTATTTGTAAAAAAACAGTTTTAAATTCATACTTTGTTATAAAATAAATTTCCTTATGTCATACTTGTGTGTCAAATGAAGACACACAACGTCACAATGATGTCGCATATTATATTTCCTTCTGACTATTAAAGCGTGGCGATATGTAAGTGTTTTTTGTATTTTTTTGTAACTGTATCTGTTAAAAGTAAAAGTAACTGTTTAAAAACGTGAGTGTGTCACTCAATAAGCATAATATTACAGAGAAGTAAAGTTTTATACTGTAATATAATTCAAAAATAAAACACATTATACAGTTTTAAAGAATGCATTTTAGATTGTTTATTTATTTGAACAGGGGTTTCTAGATTTATTAAAATATACAAAACATTGCATGGGAATTAAATATTTGCAGATTGTAAAAGTTGCAAATTGATTATACTTCGAAATAAAAAATAATAATTGCAATAGAATGTTTAGCCTTGTTAGCAAAATATTTTTGTCACTTTACACTTATTAATAAAGTTCTACAGTACGTTAATTAAAACAATCAAAACAATGCACAATAAAAAATCAAAATATGAAAAATAAAGCTCAAAATAAGTTTAAAGTATACCTGAGTAAATACACAGCAAATATAAATATGAACATATACACCATATACATTCCATATCCACCCATTTTGTACCCCTTGATTAAAACTTTACAGTGTACAGTCCCTTTGTTAGTAATTTTAGAGAACAATACGACTTGTAGTAGTTCACTATAGTGATGTAGTTTTAGAACTAACGGCTCACCTGTAGGCCTGTTCTTATCTTTATTTGTTTCAGAATACAAAATAATAAATATTGTAACACTAAATCTAATCCCTGGAAATCTATAACATTTCTATTATTTCTCGATTAAAAAAACAAAACAAATTACAATTTTTCGAAACAAAATTTTTAAGTGACCATCTTTATACCAAAAACGCAAATATATAAATATCAAACTTTATTACTTTATTACCCGGTTCATACAGGGTGTCCCACGAAACATGAGTGTTGCTGAATAGTTTTGAATGTCTTCTTCCATATACTATATATTAGATATTAAAAACTTTTCTCGCAGTCTAATTCGTTAATAAAATCTAAATTACTCAAATACATTTTACTTATTTTTTCACTTTGGAATTTCTAACAACTTGACAAATATGGAAGGCATTTAAAACTTATTACCAACTGTCATGTTTCACTCTGTATTCTTGTGTGACACCCTGAATTCTTGTGAGACACCCTGTATCTTTCAAATGTATATAATTTTCACTTCTTCAAAAAATGTCTTAGTTTAGATACTCATGCTTTTTGGAGGATTTAACTATTAAAGACGTTATGACCGGTTTTTTTTAATATGCATGTCTTATTACACATGAAATAATCCCTATTAACTCGAAAACCTAAAAATACGAAAGCCTCTATATAGTTATGCGCAAAGACTTTGCTAATTAAAGATAGCACATCAGAAAATATAATCAAATTTGACGCATTTTGTGGGTGATCCAACGATAGTTACAAATGTCGTCTTCTCTAATAATCCAGTACTTTTTACACTGTTGACGTTTCATAATGTCGTCTTTTGTAATGAATTTATTTAAAAACAAAACAAGAAAACCACTTCAGTTTTTCTATCTTATTCTTGAAAGTTTTAATTTGTACATATTTAACAGAATTCGTCACTTTTTAATATGAAATAACAACGATATCTTCCTCATTGTTACCCAGATAAATATTCAAATGGTACCGTTGTTGATAGGACCTTTAATGGATTGGTAACTTGAAATTACATCTATCAGTCCCTTATAACATTTACTATTGGTTTGAAGTATATGAAGTGTTTATCTTTTATGGAAGTAACCTTGTACTTTTTAATAGTAATCAATTATCTCATTTTTTGTTCATTCAAGATTGAATTATCTCTCTACCTGATTTAAATGAATTATCAAAATTATAATGTCATAATATTTATTTAACAATGAAATAGTTTTTACACACTCTGAGATCTTTCAGCGTAAGGATCCAATTAAAGAGCCTTCGTCCAAACTTTTTTTGGGGGGGATCTGCTGGTATTGTAAAAGCAGACTTTCCTATTCTTGGTTGGCTTTGCAGTTGGGTATCAACCATGTTACTTTGCTTGGCGTTGGCACCGACGAACCTGAATTTACCAGAATTATTCATTGAATTTGTAATGTATACATAAAACTCCGGAATTTGAAGACGACATTTAGGCAATCTGCATGTTCACTGCTCAATTGTGGTATTTTATGTTCATTGAACTATTTAATTAAAAATTGAGTCTAGTTTTATTTTCACCAATGTATTTCTTCAGTCTGACTTTTTAAAATCCTCCAATAATTCATGCCTCAAACCTTTTGTGATCAACTTTAACGAAACTTTCTGTGGTATTCTTTTCTTTCATGGTGGATATTTTTGCAACAAAATCCCCATAAATCAATTGAAAATTTATATACCGTTTATATTATTGGAAATTTCCGGGCCCCCATTCTTCTTCATCGTCTGAAATCCCATTCCATAGAACCTCAGAAAAAGTATTTTACGACACATGAAAATTTTCACCAACAATTATTGGCTATTTTTTATACACAAGAGATGCGTAACTTTATCACAAATTCAGCTATAATTCACCAGACGATCCTCATATCCAACAAATGATTAAATAAATTTAAAATAAAAATTAATATCATTGATTTTAGTAAACGTTTAGCACAAAACATTCACAAATATGTTAAATAACTAAGGTTTTATTGTCGATCGTTAGACTCTCAAACAACCAAAATAACCAATGAAGTCAAAATACAGCTGTCCAGGCGTACAAAATAGTTGAATAAATTTCAAACGCCTTGACTTCAGAATTAGCAAAGTCTTTGGGTATACATATGTTTAGGCAAGGATAAAATGCAAGGAAAGTTATTTCAGAAGTGTACGCATCTTTTGTAGTTTTTGTACTGCAGTGTACTGTCTCTAGGCGGTAATGTAAACACAAGACGGATGTTAGAGCCTGACATGGGATACATCTTTCACATAATAAAAATCAATGAAATATTCTGGTCATAGGAAACTATGTGAATTATCAAAATTATCAAAATTTAATGCTTTTAACCTCCTGACATACTAAACGAACACGGATGCATCTATTCTTATTTACAAATTCCGCCAAAAGAGAACTGGTTTCAATATGTACGCAGTACGCAGAGTATACACAACCGCAATTAACTTTCCTTGCATTACATCCTTGTGTTTAGGTATATTTACGTATGCTCAACTTTTGGTAAAGAACTTTACGCAGCTTTATGTATTTATCATACCATAACTGGTTTTTAATTAAAAAGTGCTCAAGTTTTCCAGAAACGAATTTTTACGAATAATTGCGTATACTTTTTATCAAGTAATTTTTAAACTTTTAGGTTTTTATTTTACGTATTTTTACGTATTTTGTCGTTAATTTTCTTTGCTTAAATAATTATATTTTTTAAAGTTTAAAAGTTTGATGCAAACCTGAAAATATGTATATTTTGGTAAAGTGTCAATATATTCACAAGACCTTAACTACACAAGAATACATTTTAAAGTTAGAATTTTAAAATATTTTATGATTTTTTCAAGAGAATTGTTATGTAAGAAATGTAATGCAAACATTTTGGTAAATACAATGTTTCAAAATTTCTATCATTTTGGAGTAAATTGATGTTTTCATTAGAATCAATGTCAGTAAATTCTCGATTTTTTGATAAATAGAAGAACGTTGATTTCGATGGATATACAGATGAAGGAATGATGATGGTGTAAATATGTGTAGAATAATATTGGATTGGATTTGATTGCAAATAATTGATATCTATGAATATGGATTTAAGAAATTCGTGGAACTACAGAAGGAACAATGCAAAATTATAGTTAACTTCTTAACATTTTGGTTTTAGAACTTAAATATGCCTTAAAAACCTATAAAACTTAAAAATTCAAGGGATTGTCCAATGTTCAGCTTTGCAGTCTGCATTTTAGCGATCTATATTCTTGTATATCTATGTTACGTATTGTAGATTGTGGAATAATGTATTCAATGTCGTCTTCTATACAGAGATAATTTTCAGATAATGTTTCGATGCTATATCGTTTGCACTAATGTCCGATTGAACTAACCTAAATCAGACTCAGAGCTTTTTATTAGTCCTAGTTACTTTCATTACTTGATCTAATAGAATAAATGAAAAATACTGGCATTTGGACATGATAATTCTGATAAGTATATCTATATCTTTTTTATTAAGCAAGATTTTCACTTATTAAATGCGAGGGTTATTGTACTGCTTGTACTTTTTGTACTAGGATTTCACTTGTCATACGGGGGATTTTCCCCCATACCCCCTGACTAAGCCTCTGAGGAACATCTCCCGTTATATACAGAGCGTCCCATATCATATTGGAATATCTCCATTCCCCAAGCTTTCACGCCAAAATACGTACAAAATATTTGAAAAAACCCTGGTATTTTCTGTTAATTCTGTATAATTCTCATGTTTATTTTGATACCCTGTAACTGCAAGAAATGAATTCAATACCAATCTCATCTACTATTGGATTTAACCAAGTAGATAGCATCTAATGTTTTAATTCTTTGACAAAAATATCGAATACGTAAACCACAAAAAATCAATTGTAATTTTAATTCTAACTTGTAAATATAAAAATTAATTTGCGTTATTTTAAAGCAATGTTAGTTCTAAACATCGTCTTTCTATACCTCTTTCAGGGACCACTGTATTGCAAAATCATGGCCCACTCCACCCCTAACCTCCTGAGCACAGAATTTCTAGGTAATCTGAACGGGCGGATTAAACTTGAAACTAATATATTTAATCACGAAACCTCGACGCCCTGGAAGAGATGTTAACGCGATATTACTTGGTTTGCACCTGGGCGCGTAAACTCCAGTCTTGTTTCCTTCTCCTAATATTTAATTTTATCTCCCGCGCACACACGTCTTCCATCAGCTCACCAGCTCGCGGCTTTTGCGAGTTTTCCCTCTCACCTCCCATGGGAGATTCGCCCAGGGAGATTTGAGCGCATAGATGATGTCCAGTGCGCGCTGCGCGTATGCATGTTGCAACTACATACCACCTGTTAAGGTACAGGTGCGCGTAACAATGGATTGACTACCAGGGTATCAGGAGACAAGTGGAGCTCGGATACCTGTGTAGAGGGAACCAGGCAGGGGGGATCATAGTAAGGGGGGGTGCACCGGTTGGAGGGGGCGGGGGACAGGTATCGGTACAGGCTAAAGGTATATAAAGCCGCCGGCACTAGGCCTACCCAGAAATACAGATATTTATTCACAGAATCTATTCAATACGAAATAAAAATTTTGTATAGAAAAATTAAAAGTCAAAATAATTGAATTTTTTACCAAAAATTACACAAATCTACATACAGGGCTACCCACAAAGAATGAAACTTTAATGACGACAGTACAACACTTTAAATTCAAGTTGAATTCGATGTTTTGACAACAATATCGTCTGTTAATGATTTGACAAATTGATAAAAAGTTTTCTGTTTTCCAGGGAACCAAAGAATGTTAAAAAGAGAATAAAGTGAATTTAAAATTCGGTGATGGTGATGGACCAAACCTCTGTAGAGTAAAAAAGAAGATGTTAGTTCCACATTTATTGAAAATATATTTCGGTCTGTTCTAACGATATAATAACCATCAAAATCGATAAAAAAAATATAAAAACAACAAGAAAATAACAAAAAAGATTATTTAAAAAGATTAATGTTTAAGGAGAGGTATTTAAACCTTTTAAAGAATTGGACATAAAGGATGTTTCCAAAGTCTCATTCTTTGTGGGAAAATCCTGCATATCTCAACTTCAAACCTATCAAATAATTTACACATTATGGGTTAAATAGATTTGTAAAAATTAGAATATATTTAATAATTTTATATTGCAATTCTTAATCTTATCCAGGTGGGGTGAATCCCGCACCCCCCCCCCCCATCCAGTGGTTTAGTTCTCATAAAAACAGCTTGCACTATTGAACGCTTAACTTCATGACTACTGACAAATATAAAGTTAGCTTAGAAAATTTAATTTTTACCCAAATGTTCAGATATATATTTGTAGCCTTTCAGAGCAAACAAACTGCTTACCCGTTTCAACCATTATTTTCTTATCTTTATATCATTGCAACGTGATGTTGTTTGAAATCCCAAACTATAAATTCCGTAAAAGTTAACACCACATGGTTGCAAAAATATAGTGACTAGGAAATTAGAGTTTGAGTCGTATAAATAAATATTTCATTTCGATGAATGTTTACAAAATAAATGAATGATACAAAAATTATTTACTGAAAAAAATATCAGAATTCAATTTTCACATAGCTTAAAGTTGAACTGTTCAACAAAACTGTAGTTTTTATGTTAATATCGATTGAAGAAGATAAATAAAAGAAAAAGAAATGTATTTTTCTTGAGCTTAGTGTGTATATTGTAAACAAATAATATTGAGAGAATAATAATCCAGAAATATTATTATAATTTATATTTTGTATAAGATGCATATTGTACACTGTACAAGGTACACTGTACACTGTACACTGCACAAGGTATATTGTACACTGTACACGGTACACTGTACAGTAGGATGAGGGAATATTGATGCTTACAACAGATCTATACCTTAGCATAAATATTTAGTATTGTTAACCTTGAAAGGAACTGTTGATGTAATGTCAAGTAACTCTCTATTTATAGAGTGGTATCTTTGACTTACCACGGTACCCGGTTAACTTTTGTTTGACCTAAGTTGACCTAAGTTGTTCTTCTAGCTCATTTAAAAATCAAAAATACCACTCTTTAAATTGAGGGTCTCTTGAAATTACGTATAAGTCCGTTTCAGGCAAAATAGACAATCCGTCTACAGTCCGTTTCACGCAAGATAGACAATCAATCTACAGTCCGTTTCACGCAAAATAGACAATCAATCTACAGTCCGTTTCACGCAAAATAGACAATCAATCGCCGAAAAATAGTTTTTTTTTCTCTTATCACAGTTGTTTATACAACACAACTAATGCAGGTTTCTATCCATAAACAACTCTTTATTTGGACCTTGAGTAAAGTTCGGACTAGACCTACTCAACTTAGGACCTGGATTGGAAATTAACTGAATTTATTTCTTTTCAAACTAAGCGACGATATCTTCTTAATTGCTATTTAGCAAAACAAGTTTAAATGGAGGGTTACATGAAATTACTTTACAGAAACTTTTGTTTCTATCCGGAGAACCGTATTGCAGGCTTAATAGAATTAAATATGGGTTTTTGCAGTATTGGTGATTATATAAATATATTGAAGACGACTTTCGATTCTAATTTTGATTTATACAAAGCTTTTAAACAGTACAAAAATATGGAAACAAAGAGAAGCTGTCAATTAAAAAGCTTCTCTTCATTTACTTGTAAACTTGTAATTCGAAAAAAGCTTGTTGGAAATTAAAACGTAAAAAAATTCATCTTCATTATATTGTTATAAACGCCTACCACCTTAATTGGTTGCTGCACAAAGAATGAGACTTTAGAGATTTTTAATCCCTATATCTTTGCAACCCAATGGTATTAGAGCTAGATATTTCAAACTATGAATTCTTCTAGATCCATCAATCTAAGTTTGAAATATCACAGATATTTACCATCACAATGCAAAGATATTGGGATTAGAAATTTTGAGAATTTGGCCAAAACTTTCAAAGTTTTCAAATTAACGAATATTTTACGTAAACTATGGATTGATATGTACATAATGCGCTCAAGCTTTTGATTTTGATGCCACCAAATGCGTCCATGTGGGACCCTATGATCTTCTTCTTCTTCTTCTTCTTCTCCTTCTTCTTCTTCTTCTTTATATCAGGGTTTCAGAAGGAGATGAGAAATCTGTCTGAAAAGACTGTTATCAATTTACAATGTTACCCTTTAGAATTTGCCTGATCAAGAATGATTGAGATATCTTAGTTTTTCTGGTTTAAAATTAATTATTTTAAGTTTGGTTTCTCTACAAAGGGCCTCGTGGATTTATGAAGAGGTCATAATTTAACATTTTATAGATAGAAAAACGGCGATATCTTTTATTGTTGTTGCACAGAAAAAGGTTGAAAGGGTATAGTTGTTTATCGAAATAAAAAAAAACCCCCACAAAGGATGCAGCTGCAAAGAAAATTAAGTTTTATGCCTTAAAAATGTTCTTTTTACAGTTTTATTAATGATTTGACAAAGAAAGAAACAAGCTTTAAGTTGCGAGGAATCATGAGTGTAAGTAAACAGACAGTATTATTTCCTTACAGTCGTCTCTGAAGTCTCATCCTTTGTGGGTAACCCTGTATATTGATAATATTGGGTAACCCCAAGTACTTAAACTTGTAACTTGTAAGTATTGATCACACACTAGAATTCTTGATTAAAAGTGTTCAGTTGTTATCATATCACACCTTTTCCTCTTTCATGCTGAATTCAGATTCGAAGAAAATAGAGTCTATCGAAAAATTGAAGACACTATTTCGTATTTATAGATGCTATTTAATGATGTTAGATGTTACTAAATAGATGCTCATAAAAGCTTCTAGAAGCTACTAAATAAATGCTACTAAATGCTGCTAAAAGTTGCTTAAAGGGAGTAACCGGCAATTTCATGGTAGTTGAACTGAGAATGCAGTATTGTGCAGAAATATTTTAGGATTTATTTGAGACATATAAAACGTTTTAATGATGTATAATTACTAAGTTTCAGCGCAAAGTCGACGTTCAAAATCATCCATACGGGTGATTATATTTTGAAAATTGATTCTGATTGATGATTGATTCTAAATTCTACTTTTAATTTATTAAATGTTTGGCAACATATTTTTCAACTGTTTTTTTTTATAAATCTATGTTAAAATCAATTGTTTCTTTTTCATCATTATATGGAATTTCTTATTCTTTATAATTTGCTCGCAAATTTTCAAATTCTTCAAATGTTGCCTTTTCAATAAAGTTTCAGGCAATTTCGATGAAAATAGTTAATTTTTATTTTTTCAACCTATTCCTTAACAACTAATTAGTTTCCGATTCTCAAACTCTAAAAGGATTTTAAAGATTTCATATTGCGCTCATTTAAAAATAGATAAGAATTGCGGATTTTTCTGTATTTATTAGTAGATTTTAACTTGATATTGGTGAATTTCCTGTTGATGAGGTAAATAATTTCCTGTTCAAATATTCCAGATTTGAAATATTCAAGAAAATACGACTCAGGTCTAAGCTGTCGTTGGGCCTTATTTACGGCTTGAGCTTTCGGATTTAAGTTGCATCTAATTTCCCACGGAGTTGTATTCCTAAAACCGGTTTTATGTTGTATTTGACGGATTTTCATGGTTTGAATTGGCGCATTCCGGGTTTTAATAAGAACAAGGCTTAACATTTAGCCTTATTCTCAGTTAAAACCAACCAAGGTCGGTTTTATTTTCATTGTGCCTAACTCTTTAAGTCGAGACTAAGATCTCGAAGCTGTCAATCTTTTCTTGTGACACAAGAGATGAGATTTTAAAAGCTTAACCCCGAGTAAAACCCGGTCTTTGTTCCGTTAAATAGTTTATGTTGCCCTTAGTAATATTGGAATAGCATGGAATCTAATCTATTTAAGATCACTAATTAACTTTTCTAATTAGCATAAAGGCAGGCTGATGCTTCATTGAGAATAATGAAAGAAATAATGAAAGAAATAATGAGAATACTGATAAAAAATAGAACTTGACGAGTATCTATAGGGATTTTTGGATTTAAGGAACTGAAGCATTGCATCTGTTAAGAAATTTTAGATTACTTAAAAATCTTAAACACCTATTTTCTAATTACAATCTATATATAAATTTGGCTTGGTTGGGTGTTTGTCTGTCTGTCTGTTTGTTTGTATCCAATAAACGTCAAAACAGCTGAACCAATCGGGCCAAAAATTTTTGTGGGACATCACGTGACCACAGGAAAGGTTTATGAATGATAAAAAAAGTGGTTTAAAGGTTTTTAATTTTGTAAAAAATTTAAATTCTTGAAAATCCGCGATTTTTTTTAAATCCGCAAAATTGTTTTCTTCTTTATTTTAAAATGTAAACAAAAAGAACATGTTCACAATTTAAATAGAAGATGGTCGCACAGCACCCTAAAAGTCTAGAAAAAAGGGCGCGAAGCGCCTTGAATTTCTAGTATTCATAAAATTTATAACATTTCCAATGTAAAACATTTTACCATATTCAATTCTTACTTGGGGAAATAAAGAATTTTAAAATGCAATTTTTTTTTTAAATTTTTTAAAACACTTGAAAAGAAAACCATTAATAATAAAACAACAAATTATGTAATTTTTAAAAAAAATAATCCTGTTTGGTTTCTTATATGTAATATCAAAGTTTTGTCTTATTGGGACTTTAAACACTGAAAACATATTGTTTTTAGTTGTAGTTTTTCTACAAAAGCGCATTTCAACTACCGGAAACACATCAGGAATTAATAAAACACATTTAAGCCTAGAAAAACGACATTCTTTATCAGAAAAAGGTTTCAGGGTTGGGAATCGTGCAGTGTCGTCTTTGCATGACAAGGATCACTTGAAATTCGCGTACAGACCCTTTAAATTTCAAGCAAATTAGCGTACAGACCCTTTAAATTTCAAGCAAATTTTCAGTTTTTTTGCTCTATAAGTGTGCTACAGAATCACTGAGAAAAATTTTTAAATAACGGATTTTTCGTATCCTAAAAACACTTAAAATGAATGTTCATTAAACTTATATCCAACATTTTTTTTTTAAATTAAAAGAGCATAGATTTAAACAATTCAAATTCTAACTTTCTAAGCCAATACAGATTATTGTGCAATTTTGTTGCAAAATTATTAACGATTGCATTTTTGCCTTTTATTTTTGTTTATCTGAAGGGAGGAAATGCAAAAGGGAAGCCGAATTTTCAATATTTTTCTTTAAAGCCACCACCGAACGATCATTCTGACAAAACTTTTCTTACACTGCATGTACCAAGCTTTATCATTTCTTAACTATTTTATTGAATGGCAACAAACTACATAGATAATATAAGATTTATTAATTGTTTACCTTTCGAGATTGAGTTAGCAAAAGTAAATTGCATTTATGATTGAAATTTGTGCGTAACATCTCTGTAAAATAGCTACGAAGTCCTACCAGTAATGTCGTGTAAATTGTACCTTTTTTTTCTCTCTAATTTAGTAGTAACTATTTTTCTTTCAATCATATTTTTTGTGTGTGAAATTTCTTGAGCTAACGTTACGTTCATCATATGAAAATAATTCCAAAATATTTTTTTTAACTTTGTAATTTTTTTTTCAAAATTTTCAAAAAGAGCATCTGAAGAGAATTCTGTGGCTTCTACACTTTTGCTTCAAATAGTTTGTGGCATTTGAGTGTATAGAATGAGTAAAAATTGCACGTGAAAAAAAGAAAATTTTTAAAAGCACCCAACTTACACAACAAACTAATTAATTTAAACTGCTGTTCCCGAATGATAGAATATGTAAAAATTTGACGGATTCAGAAATGGTGAAGAATGTTGCTCGGATGCATCTTTATCTGATTTTACCTGTCTGGCAGCCTCCAAAACTTGAAATTATGATTTTTAAGACAATCTAGCTAAAAACCTAATCTAAGAGATAAAAACTATATCTATATGTATTGAAATAATGCAAGGTATGTGGGATAGAGTTTGTGTACATTATACTTTGAAAAAGGAATTGAGTCATTCCCACATACTTTAATTTTCTAATATATCTGTCACTGCAATCTGATTGTGTACACCTTTAATATCTTAAATTTAGATTATTTGATCTAACAGAATTTATAGTTTGAAATATCTAATGCCTACGACAATGGGTTGCAAAGATATAGCGATTAGAAAATCAGAGTTTGCGACAAAGACTTAATTTCTTTGGACTGCTCAGAAACTGGTTTCAGGTAGATAAACAATACATATTTTGTGAACAATCCCGACCTTTCTACCCTGGGCTGGACTGAATTGTCGATATCGAGATCAATGCTTGATCTTGACATTTTGTTAATCTGCAGATTAATTTAATCTGTATTCGAAATCCCTCGAAGTAGTCGTACACAGTCAGGGATTAGAGGGAGCTTTGTTAATCAGGAGAGAAATAACTGAAAATAAGTATTACACATTGATCCTCAAATAAAAAGTGCCCACAGTAGATATCGAGATCAAGCGATTGGGATTAATAGTAGTTAACACAAAATTTTCCAGCTTTGGAAAGTAAAGTTTGTTTAAAATATTTGTTATTGTTCTTTTAAAACTAGTTCTCAGCAGTCCAAATACGATACAGTCTAATGTGTACATAACCTATCCCCCGTACCTTTAATGGCCGGCGTTAATATCAATATAATCAAAAGGTCTTTTCTATTTAAGTTTTAAATTCTAACAAGCTTTTATCAAGTTACACGTTTGCAAGGTAACAAAATTAAGTACTGTAAATTGACAGCTTGTCTTCGTTTCATGTTTATCTATGCTGTTTGAAAACTTAGTAGAAATCAAAATTGAAATCGAAAGTCTGCTTTATTGTATTAATATATACGACGACGGCTGTACATACCTTGAAAAAAAGGATAAAAAATCAAGCAAATGGTTAAACTAAATACTTTATTGAAAAAGCGTGCAGTAATATATTGAAAATATATAATTTTGATAGCTAAAAAGGCAGCTAGCTACAGTGGGGTAGACTCATTTTCAAAAAATTACATTATTTATAAATTTTGAAAATGATTGTCACTTGTTTTCTAAATAACTGTAGAATACAAAATCATGCTGGAGACATGATATTGGACTCCGGATTTCACTCTCTCTAACCTACTCAACTCAGAGATTAATTCTGAACCTTGTTGTTCGGAGATTCGGATTTCTGAAAAGTTGACGGCGCGGAGTAGGTTGCTGTAAGTCGTCTGTGCTCTCTGGTCGGAGAACCGGTTATGACAATCTCCGGCCCGGCAAAGATGGCGGGTTGCTGCTCCGTGAGGTTGGTAACAGTGGTGGATTCTGAACTGGTGTTCTCTAGGTATAGGTTGAGATCACTCTCATCAAATTCATCTCTAAAATAATACAACCAAATAAAGAGACTGTACAGTGTACACGTAATTTAATTGTGACCTTTTATTAATAAGTTGGCATGTCCGATTCATAACAATAACCATTAAAGGGAGTATCCGGCTAGACACGGTAATTAAGCTGAGAGTGCAGTATTGTAGAGAAATTTTTTGGATTCATTTAAAGTCGGCATTGTATGATGGTTGAGCGCAAAATTGACGTTCAAAATCATCAATTTGGGTGGGTACGTTTAGAGAATCCTTTTTTTAATTATTAAGAAACGGCGATTAAAATGTTACAAATTTTTCAGTAAACTGAATAGTTGTTTTGGAGCAGGTTGAGAAAATAAAAAAGGTTAGGTAATCATCGAAAATAAGTAATCTTATTCAATTATTAGTTTCTATAATCTATCATTATTTACTAAGATTTTCTGCAGATTTTCTGAAATTTGTATTGAAAAGACGACATTTTAAGAATTTGTAGAAATTTGCGAACAAATTCAAAGAAATCATAAATTCAAAATGATGATGAAACTGAAGTAATTTATTCTAACATTGATTTATTGACAAATTTCTTTGAGAAATATGTTCCTAAACATCTAATTAATTTAATATATAATTTTCACAATATTTTTTGTCGTCGTTATTTAATAATTAAAAAAAAAATTCTCAAAACGTACCCATCCAAATTGATGATTTTGAACGTCGACTTTGCTCAAACTCAGTAATTATAGATCTTAAAAACGTTTTAAATGTCTTAAATGAACCCTAAAAAAATTCTCTGCAATACTGCAATCTCAGTTCAAACACCATACATTGCCGGTCACTCCCTTTAAGACAGGTTATAAGACGCTTTAACAGTGTATAATAATTGCTGAATAATAACGGAAAGTTCGATTATTAAAATTCTCCTGGATTGTCCAATCTGGAGGATACAAATTTATAATATCATTTTTTTTAAAACGACGTCGAAAACATAACTTAATTTTTTGTAGACATAGTCTTGACCATTTTATCCTTTATCCTTTAGTTTTTTTGCTTTATTCTTTAACAAAATTATTAGCAAAATTCTTCATATTTAAGTGAGAACATAAATAAAATAAGATACATAAAGAAATTGAGTCGTGCCTAATTCTCAAATTTGCTAATCTCTATATCATAGCAACCTGACGGTGTAAACTTAAATGATTTAATCTGACAGAATTTAAAGCTTTTAATATATATCTAAGGTCTACGACATTATGTTGAAAAGATAAAGGTATCAGAAAATCAATTCCTTTCACTAGAAGGTTGATCTTTCATTTTGTGTACTACATATACAGTCCTGCTGTGTTCTATATAGTCTATATAGTTATGTACTGTACAGTTTGCTCTAGCTGCTTAAAAGGCGGCCTGGTACTCAAAATGAACCGTACACTGTACTAACCTAAGGTACTTGCAAATCTCTCCATCTAGACTATTATCCTCTGAAGGTGGAGTACATCCTTCTATCCGGACACTGGGTGGAACTATATTACACAGGGATACTGATTCATCCTGTCTTGTATTCACTTGACGGTATTCATCCTAGATATTCATTCTATTCATCCTAGGTATTCATTATATTCATCCTAGATATTTATTATATTCATCATAGATATTTATTATATTCATTCTAGATAGATATTATATATATTCATCATAGATATTTATTATACAGATATTTTAACCCTAGATATGCATTATATTCATTAAAGATATTCATTACATTCATACTAGATATTCATTATATATTCATCCTAGATATTTATTATATTCATCCTATACATTCATTATATTCATCCTAGGTATTCATTAAAATCATCCTATATATATTTATTGTATTCATCCTATATATTCATTATATTCATCCTAAGTATTTATTAAATCATCCTAGATAGATATTATATATATTCATCATAGATATTTATCATATAGATATTTTAACACTAGATATTCCTTATATTTTCTTACTAGATATTCATTATATATTCATCTTAAATATTCATCATAATTAATCTTCCTAGATATTCATTATATATTCATGCAAGATATTTCTTATATTCATTAAAGATATTCATTATATTTATTCTTCCTAGATATTCATTATATATTCATACTAGATATTCATTATATATTCATCCTAGATATTTATAATATTCATCCTATATATTCATTATATTCATCCTAGGTATTCATTATATTCATCCTAGATATGCATTATACATTCATCCTAAATATTCATTATATTCATCCTAGATATTCTTCATATATTCATCCCAGATATGCATTATATAATCATCCTAGATATTCATTATATAATCATCCTAGATATTCATTATATATTTATTCTAGATATTCATTTAATATTCATCTTAGATAGTCATTATATTCATCCTATATATGCATTATATATTCATCCTAGATATTCATTATATATTCATCTTAGATATTTAATATATTCATCCTAGATATTCATTATATTCATCTTAGATATTTAATATATTCATCCTAGATATGCATTACATATTCAACTTATTTACTTATCCTATGATATTTCAATTCATGTTGACAGCTGTAGAAAGGAATGATAGGTAAAAAATATATAATTAGCAGAGATTCGAATTAAGATAAAGAAATTAAAGATAGGAAATACTTTTACGATGAAAATCGGGCGGAACCCCCCCTCCCCCCCAAAAAAAAAGAAAAAAAAAGAAGTTTTCAGAACAAAAATATTTCGCTTCCACTTGTCATTTTTACCATTTTTACCATTTTTACCACTTTAGGAACTAAAATCTTCCAACAAACTCTGATTTTTTAAATCCCTTTTTCTTTTCAACTTGATGTCGTCAACTTTTGATATTTAAAACTGTGAATTATGTTAGACCAAATAGGTTAAGTTTGAAATATAAAGGTTTACACCATCAGGTTGCAAAGATTTAGGGATAAGCAATTTACAAGGGTAATAAGCCCAAAGTTATAATGCAAGGAAAGTTATTTTAGAGGTGTACGCATCTTTTGTACATGCAGTGTACTGTCTCTGGGCGGTAATGTAAACACAAGACGCATGTCGAAGCCTGACATGGGATCCATCTTTCACATAAAAAATCAATAAATTATTCTGGTTATAGGAAACTATTCTGTGAATTATCAAAATTATCAAAATCCAATGCTTTTAACCTTCTCGGATACTAAACAAACATATCTATGCATCTGTTCTTTTTTACAAATTCCGCCTAGAGAGAACTGGTTTAAATATGTACGCAACTGCAATTAACTTTCCTTGCATTATAACCTTGAATAAGCCTGTTAAAAAATCTACTTAAAAAAAAAATCAAGAATTATTTCTTACATTAGTTTACCTCGGACATTCGTGTAAACTTTGAAGGAATATATCCAAGAGTGACTCTCTTTTTAAACGGTTTTTTAGGTTGAATATTTAAAGATTTCTCTTGCAGTGTCTCATTGGTAGGGGAACCAGGTTCACTATACTGGGTATCCATCACAACGGATCTATTTAACATTTATAATATATAACTAGCTCAAGTGCCCGGCTTTGCCCGTGGAATTTTTAAAACAGATTAAAAATAAAAAAAACTAACATTTTGAAGAATATTTTTTTTTCAAATTAGAATTTGTTTTGCCTATGTCACCCCCAGGGTATCCTTATAAAATGTCAGCAAATTTGGTTCAGCCGTTTTCTTAACTATAAATAACAAATATATATATATATATATATTATATATATATTTGAACGAAGAGTGTAGAAGTAATAATCTTTGTTTGTGTGTATTTTGTGCGTGTTTGTATATCAAATCATAACATAGAAACCACGTAACCAATGCCCCTCAAATTTTGATCATAGGGAGTTCGGGACTGGAATGTTCTTTGCTTGGTTTAAACATTCTAATTTAAGGGGCTTGGCTTTCATATAGGGAAAGTTAAGATTGCAAAGTAAAGCTGGGGTTAAAGGCTAGTTAATTATAAAATTTAAAAAAACCATTTTAAAATCAAAATAAAGGGAGTTACTCTCATTTGTAGTTTCTCTTGTGCATTTATTGCTTCAGAGAAGGTATCAGAATTAAACACTTTTTAGGCTCAAACAAAGACGTCGTCTTCCATATTATTACATCTGCAAATTATTATTATTATTAGGTACTGTTTGTAACTTGAAAATGCTTCTACAATCATTCATTAAAGTAATAATCATTTCGGAGTAAATATTTTTCAAATCAATCCCCCTTCCTCCC